ATAAGTATCTTTTATCGACTTTGAGAATTAAACCTAAGCTGTCAACATCCCTTAACGCACTAAGAATGCGCTAAATTACCGTAAGCCAGCAACAAAAAAATATCGCCTTTGAAAAACCTACAGTACTCAATCCAAAGCCGCTCATAATCGGCCCTCGATGTCGTACGGTTGTTGGCAGCAAATAGAATCCCGGGCGACATTAGGAAATTAGGATCGAATGGCTAGATTCTGGTCGGTCTCTCCGCTTTTTGGGCCCCAGAAGGTGTTCGGTCGTTTTAGTGGGGTGGAAGAGAGGAGTGTCGAGTTGCGCTCTGATGGGAAACTGAGGCCAATTCCACCAATGATGGCCACCCTCCGACCAATCTCTCTCTCTCTCTCTCTCTCTCTCTCTCTTTCTCTCACTTCAAAAGTGTTTCCAACCGAAATTGGCCTGAACCCCGCCCCGGAGACCACTGGGTTCCGAATCTTTTTTTTCTATGCTAGCTGTGAATCGACCCGAAAACCTGTGCGCGATATCGAAGGTGATAATCCGTTTCACTTCCGCGCGCTGGCTCTTTTGACAAGGTTTTTGGAGGGCATTTAGTGCAACGAGCTGGGAGAGCGTTTCGTGCAATTTTGCGCGGGGTTGAAACGTGGGTTTCGGGGTGCGCATCGGATTTTAATGAGGTTGAGCTGGGGGTTTAGGGGATTAACGGTGGGATCAAGAGATCAGGATGGGTTTTTAAAGGGAAAGTGACACTTATTGAGAGGCACACGAAACAATAAATAGTATTTTAAATAATTATATACTAATAATCAAGTGATTTTGCAAGTGCGATTCGATATAGCGCCAAAAAAAGTTTTGAGGATTGATTTCAGCCCCAAAAGTCAGTGAAATTTTTGTCGAATAAGAAAAATCTGTCCAAAAAATAGTATTAGGTTGGAACATAAGTCGTTGCGGTTTTTTCAAAGCGCGCTGGTGCGCCTCGGTGAAAGTTTTGTAAATCGTGTTATAGACCATCCGAAAGGGCATGAATTCCTCTACCAGAGGATGTCTTTAACTTATTTTTGCGTATAATATGCCTCGAGTTACACCTCGTTGAAGTTGGCACCAAATTGACCCCGAGAAAAAAACGCCGACACCTATATTTCACCAGATTCATAGCACCTTATGGCTAAAAATAAATTGATCGAGGCACCTAATTTGCTTATTTCAGTGTTTGCTACACATATTATTAATGTCCCCCCAAGGGACCGCAGGATTTGAAAGTTATTGGCCTTTAAAGTGGGCAAGTGCAGGGCGTCTTTTTTGAAGGAAAGTGACGTGGTAGCAATGAGCCGTCGGAATCGAGTCTGGTTGAATTTCTCAGAACTCTGCTTTGCCAAGAAGTCTTTCTCATACAATTTTTATCATTTTGGAAATGGATTAAGGAATTGGTTGACTTTTCTTCACCAACTTCGGTTCAAAACCCTTGCAAAATCATCAAATGAGGTTGCCATAAATAAGTAGCTTTCTTTATGGGAATTTACTGTGTTAAACCGATAAAATCAAGATGCTCTACCGCCTCATACAGTTTAAAAAGTGAAATACGCCTTTTGTGTGTCCGAAGCAGGCCGTCAAATACCCGGTTGTCGGCGTTTTTTCTCGGGCTCAATTTGGTGCCAACTTCAAAGAGGTGTAACTCGACGCATATTATACGCAAAAATAAGTTAAAGCCATCCTCGTGTAGAGGAATTCATGCCCTTTTGGATGGTATATAACGCTACTTACAAAACTATTACCGAGGCGCACCAGCGCGCTATGAAAAAAACGCAACGACTTATGTTCCAACCTAATAAATAATATAAATTTTATACAATAATGATTAATGCAAAATTATTATAGTTTGGAAAGATCGGAAGAGTGTAATTCTTAAAAAGCCAGCTTAACGCCTACTATAAATGAATCATTTTCCCATGAACAATACACACCTGTTAACAAGAATCTACATGCAAAATCTCGTAATTAACATTCAAAATATTGGGGGATCTTTACCACACCTCTCCTCTCATTTTTTCTATTATCCAGCCGTCAATTTGCCAGCGATTCGGCGAACCGGCAAAAATTCTTGTTTTTGATCAACCGCCCGGAAGTCTGGGACAAAAACTCGGCAAAATTCTAAATTTCTAAATTTCAAAAATTCCACAGCCCACGGGATTTAATAAATAATTTCAAAATAAGGCTCACGGCACCACACAGAAATACTTGACATTTGAGAACCATTGCTAAATTCGGCAAATATTTCTCGGCTCGGGTTTCGTGGTATTTTGATGGTGAATTTAGGTGTCGGTTTAGGAGTGGGCGGAAAGTTAGGACTCCTAAAAGGTCAACGCGAACTTGCCAGTTCAATAAAAACGTAAAAAGTTATAAATAAAAATCAAAAAGAAATTTCTGAACAAAAAACGGGTCGAACTCCCCCAGACAACCAGAGCAATTTTCTAACAATGCCCACCCAGACGCGCATCAAAGTTCAAGAAGTGTGAGAAAGTAGGAAATTTTGGGATGTGTGACGACACAAAAAGATGAGCACCACCTCGCCGGGATTGAATTGAAGTGTTCTTTAAGGCGTGTGGAGGTAGTTTGGAAGGTTTTGGAGTGAAATGAGGAATTTCTTTAAAGAGGGGGGAAGGCGTTGGATTGAAGATCACTGAAGCAAGGTTGAGGCGGGAAATGAATTTCGTGTGCGAGAGCGCTTGCAAACGAAGCAGCCATGTGGAGATTAAAATGGAAATAACCATCTTTGGGGCCTGGATCTTTTGAAAAAATACGAAGAGGAACGAGCTTGAGGAATTTTTATTGGAAAATTAGGGGGATAAGGTGCAGGGGCTATGAGAAGACAAAGAATTACGTCAAAGTGTAGTATGAGCTTAAGCCTAAGCTAAGCTCGAGAAGCCTAAGCTAATCCTAAGCTTAATCTAAGCAAAGTTTAAGTTAAGTCTATGCTAAGCTGAGCCTAAGCCAAGCCTAAGGGAAACCAAGCTAACGCTTAAGCCAAGTTTAAACTAAGCCTGCTAAGCTTTCTAGCTTGCCAAGCCTGCCAAGCCTAAGCTTATTTCAAAAGACCCAAGCCTTCCTCCAAAACAACATATACCAGTGAAATGATCCGGAAAACGCCCGTAACTCAACACGGAAGAGCACACCGATTTGATGCTTGATGGCACAACATTTACCTCGAATATTCTGGGGCCTGGTCAAAAGCGCCCAGAATTAGGGCCCAAGGGGGGCCAAATTGAGACCCAAGGGGCCCTATTCTCGTGATGGCTGTCATTTGGGTTAGATATCAATTTACAAATTATTGGCCCCGGGCAAAGGTTGAGGGCCCTTATGGAGAGGGGATATCAGGGGAGGGAGTAATGAAAATTTGGGGAGAAGGAGGGGATTGTAGCTTTCCAGATGTCGTTATGCAATTAAAGGGAGCCGGATGGGTCAATAAGAATTTATATTTACACGTGAAAACTAATTAAAACTACTAAATACTAAACTAAATGATATTTCTCAAAAAGCAGTGCATTACCGACATTAATGACAGCTCGATAGTGTCGGAGTTAAGATCTTCCAAGAATCATATCCAAAACCAAAATCCAAAATTCATATCCGTAAAAATGGCTGAGGTACATACCCTAGACGAATATGATGTCGACACAGACAACATCTTGACTCAAACTGAACCCGAAGAAACGGAAAGAGCCCCCGCCACCTCCCCGGTCTCCGCAATTTCCCCCTGCGAAAAACACGGATTTCCGGTTGCGGCCGTGGGGTGTGAACTCTTTTGTGCCTTTTAACGTTTCGCTTTTTTCAAAGGTTTGTTGCGAATTGTGTTACGAGAAGTTGAGAGCGGCTAAAAAGGCTGCAAAGCGGCTTGGAAAAGTCATAATGTGTTCTTAGGGGTTGTAGTTTGTAGCTTTGTAAAGGCGTTCTGAAACAGCAAAAAAATCCCTGGATGAAGTAGGCTTGCAGGGTTTCTTGTGGATTAGAATTTTTTGAAGAATGGCGCTTTGCTTGCTGTAACTTATGTATATTAGATAGATGCCGATATATGATTTAGAAAGTTATAATGGCGCGCGTCTTATTTAAGTCAGATTTACCCTTGGAACTAAGGATTTTATTTGATTTGGTTAGTATTCCAATTCCAAAAATTGCAGTCAAATGACGCCCAAGCGCTTTGATATCAAAAGGAGAAGCAACAGCCAGATTTTCGATTTTTTAGGATGTGAGAATTACTTTTGCATACTGTAAAAGAGGTGCCCGCCATCCCTCTCAAAAATCATAGATCCCGGAAATTAAAAAAAAACCCAGCGAACGCAATCTATGCCAGATCGCATAAACCCGATTCTACCCCATCCAATCCTCCACCACCACCAATTTGCACATTCCCCCCCTCAAGGAATTTCGGGTCCTCCACCCCGCTTCCATGAAATTGAGAACCGATCTTCCATCCCCCCAAATCCACACCAAAAAACAACAAATGCCCAAACCCCGTTCGTCTGGAAAATGCGAAAACGATAGAGAGGACCGGCAGAAAACCGGAAATTCACAAAATAGTTTGTTATGCAATGACTACGAGAATTGCCTTGCTTTCGTGGCGATATCCCCTAGAGGATTAATACGAAATGGGGAACGTTTTTAGGGGCGATGCGAGGAAAACGAGGAATGAGCTAAAATCATGGAAATAGTGATTTTTTTAATGATTTTCGTGTTTGAAGTAGGTTGTTTTTCGAGGTAGGTCGAAGCGTAGCCAAAAATTTAATTAACAGCTATGTCAACAAATAAAACTGACTCGAGCAGTGGCTTATACGAAAAAAATCTGATTTGCATAGGACTTAACGCCCGTCAATCATCCAAATAATTTGAAAATTTACGAGAAAAGCTTTAACAAAATTGTTGTTAAAATCCTGTATAAGCGCTGATAAACTTTAGGAAAATCATTTATAAATATACCCGTTTATGCAAGCATCATAAAAAGACAAAAGATCACGAATTATGTCCAAGATTCTTCAACGACAACTGGCGTTGCTTCCGCCATATTCTCAACAGCTTCCGCTGTGAATATTGTCCCCGCCACCGGTTCCGCTTCCGCTTTTTCGCCCGTAACGTTTAGGAACGTTTCTAAAATTCGCATAAAAATCTTGCCTTTTTTGCTTACCAATCAATGAAGCCTGAGCCAATGAGAAGTCTTCGGCCCCAAGGCTTTGGCCCATTTTCGCGCATTTCAGCCACATCTCCGACCAAAGGTCTTCAGGTCTTCGGGGCAACTGACGGCAAGGGATTGGAAGCTAGCAAGTATAAATACCGTAAATTTGAATATATTCGATTGAACGACGTCACGATGTTGGGTTGAGCCAGGGAATGCGGAGGATACCTAAAAATTACCATTTTTCGTTATTTCAGACTAATAAATATTCAAAACTGCTCAACCTACCGCATCCTGAACCCTGCCGTCAAAGCTGCAATCCCGGGGTTGGTCGTGTGGGAACATTAAGACGAGTTGGTAGGTGTTACCGTACCTGGAGAATTGGCTTTAAACAATTTTCAAAGGTATTACCGTAATAAACCGTATTTTTATCTTATTTTGCCACTTAGCTTAAATCTTACAGTTAATAAATTGATTTTTAATACGTGAATGTGAATACCTAGATATTCTTTAAAAGTTAGTAATCATTTATATGAAGGAATTACCGTATGAAACAAAAAATCCGAAATGCTATGAATTAGGATATTAGTCAATCTGCTTTGGATATGCTGTTATAAACGTTTTTCATTGTTTGGCTCTAATCTAAAGGTTAAAAACAAATTTTTCAATCAAAACGTGATTTTATGTGGTGATGCCAGCGCTCCGTTGGGTGGATAGAGAGGAAAATGCGGGTCGCGGCGGGACCACCATGGTCGACACTTGGGGTGGTCCCCATGTAGGTCGAACCGGGGAAATAGCCAGGTATACATAAGTCACGAAAAGTAAATATATAATCAAGCAATAACAAACCACTCTTAGTATACGAAAGTTAAGATAACGATATGAAGTAAGAAGAAAGCAAAACAAATTTTAAAGGGCAAGTCAAAGTTCTTTTTTTATAATTTTTTACCGTAAATTCTCAAACAATTTTCTGTGGCTCACCGTGATTTAATCTGCTGCGTGGTGCCGACCGTACGCAATACTCCGTGCGCCATTATTCCCACACGAGTGCAAAGGGCTTCACACTAAAAAGGAATGTAATTTTTAAATCCAGTAGGTGGTTAGTTTTTATCCTTATTATTAACGGAAAAAGTTTTATAAATTTAAATATAATTTTTTGGTTACCTCATCCATCGAATGGGACGATAGCAAAACTGCTCGACCTTCCGTCTCACGCACGGCACCGACGAGAGACCAGATTTCGCGACGTGCCTGGAGCTCTACTTTCTATATTCTGTCCGGGATACCGTACCCTAGGATCTATCCCGGCGGTTGGTTCATCAAGTAGGATAACGTGCTTTTGCGCTAATAGCGAAATTCCGACGCTGATTTTACGTTTTTGGCCGCCACTGAAAGGTTTGAAGTTTTTAGAATCCCTTTCACTATTTCCAACCTGCAATGTTTGAGTAGCTTATCTCCATGACGTTCCATTAATACGGCTCGGAGTAGAGAATCAGCTTTTCTGTAGTTTACAGCTTATATGGATACCTTAAAATTTGCATACCTGAATGGATGATAATAGCCCAGTAGAGTAGCCAATAGTGCCAACACTTCTCGTCCTGTTAATTCGAGAAGATAAGCGTCGAATTGAGGGCAGTAACCCATCGACTGAAACGAATTAATTAAATATAAATTAAATTTAGGTTATAAAAGCTGCTAGGTAGTCATTAAGTTAAGGTTTATTCAGTATTAATTTAAATTTAATACCTTTATCCCAAGCACCCTTGAGCCGCCGATATATGCAGAACCCTCGGTCGGATATAAGGACCCGGTCAAAATCCCGAATGTCGTTGTTTTTCCAGCTCCATTCACACCTAAATATGGAATTAGGAAAGGCTGTATTTCTTACCGAGTAGGCCAAAGCATTCCCCGGATTTGACGCCAAAGCTCAGCCGATTCACCGCCGTGAATTTTCCATAATTTTTGGTGAGTTTTCGAGTTTTTAGGGAGTATTTATCGGTTGCGCCTTCAACCAATTCTCGTTCTCGGTAAACGAGATCATCTTCATTTGTCTAAATTATACAAATAATTAGTTATGTAGTTGAAATTACAATAGGCGGTGTTGGTTTCTTGCAGCATCGGGCGCAAAACATTTGAAGAGGTGGGAAACGGATTAGGATATAGAGTAGTAAGTAGCCGGCAGCGTTACAGGCAAAGATCCAGAGTACGCGATCTGAAAGAGGTTGAAAGTAAAAACACGAATAATCAGATTTTTGTTATAAAAGTTAGTAGAAAAGTAAGTAAAAACTCACGATATCTTATCAAATTAATGTTATTATCCTGATCCACATCGTCTCCCTTCCCTCGCCCAAGCATTCGAGCCATCACAACACCTCGAGATAATCCGTAGGTCGGGCATAACGCTTGGAAAACGTCCTATAAATCATTTTTTAATTTTGATCTTTTAAAAATTAAATTTTGAACCCTACCTGTAGTATAATCGGCTCCCAATCCGACGACAGCTGAACGGTCATCACCGTAATTATGCAAATAAAGGCGCCAAAGGACTGGATGATCAGGATCATTGTATTTGCCTAGAAAATTCGGTTTAAAAGAGCACCAAATTCAAGTTTAAGTGATTTTAAGTCAACTACCGTACCTTAGAAGGTGAATCAAACATAGCGCATAAAAGATAGGTGGCTGGGTGGATAGCCACAAAATATAATGCCATACACCAGAAAACCCTGGAAAATAGGTATTTCTTTAATGGTTCTTTATATTTAATACGGTTTTAATATATTAATTAATATATATAATTATTTTTAATACAAACCTCAAATTTTCTCCCTTGTCCCAATCACCAATCCGGAACGCTATTAACATAAGCCCGGCCACGAAAAAGTAGATAATAGCTTCATACAACACCGAGGTAGTATACAGCATTAATGTCGGCATTTTTGTCAGGAATTGCTGGAAATTTGAACTATAAGCTACAGGAAACTTTAAAATACCTGGTGCGCAAATCTTGACACTCTTTCCAATACTATGTAAATTGCGAATGGGGATGTTAGCATCGAAAACACAAGCACGACAATTGCAGAAACGTAGTAGTCTTCTACCTATAATTAACAATAATTGTTAAAATCCCTCTAAAACCCTACAATTTCCATCGAGTCCTTATCCTCATCGTCCAAATGGTGCAAGCGCTTGACAACACGAACATTGACGTCAATACCACCGTCTAAAAATTTAAAAAAATCCGGAAATTGAATTACCATCCAAGTACGAATTTGCCAGAGCTGTGAATAGGGTCATGTGTGCCCAGAGAGAATTCGGGTTCACAGCGAAGGTGAGGGAATTGTTTGCTAAAATATAGATCTACAGGATTTTATAAAAGTGAGTTACCTTGGAAAACGTGGGCGCCAAAAGGTGGTAATCGGAAGCGGCTGTCTGCAGGGATCGGATCTTCGTACACCTAAAAAAAGTTAGCTACTTTACTTTCTATTCCATTAATAGCTATTTACGCCATTATGACTATCCACCTTTAAATTCCCAGCTCGGCGTATCGCATCATACAATTTCACATTTGCCGCCCCATCCAGACCGATAGCCATTTTACCCATCGAATTTAATGCAAGAAGATGCCCTGAATTCGATTTTTACAGCTTTTCCAACTTCCAAACTAACCATCCTTTGTCACTCCGCCATCCGTCTCTCCCAATCCGTTAAAATCTACGAATTTCGCCATTAAAAATACTAAAAAATCACAGGGTTATGGTCGCCAAGTCAAACATACTAATTAGCATCGGCAACACGATCTGATAGAGCCATTGGGACCAATTGCGGATGGAGTACAGGATGCGTTTCCATAGGAGGAAGAGGAATTGGAAGGGGAGGGATGCCACACTGGATTTTTGGTTTGAGAAAAATAGAAAATTGGCTTTACAGGTTGATGCGTTCGTCGAGGTCTTTATCAAACATGTCTTTACGAGCTGCCGAGCCATCTTCGGCATGTTCACAAAGTTCACCGACACTAAAAAATGAAAAGTGATCATGATATATTTTTCTTTTACAACAAAACCCATCTAAACTACCATACTTACGTCAAAAACACCTGCTCCAGATTACTGGCCGAAAGACCAAACGAAGATACCCCAAGCTGCACTTGGTGAGCTTCAAGGTACGCGAAAAGCCGTGGAAATTGCAGGTTCTCATGGTTTGGCAGACTGATCTCGACTTGCTTCCCGTGGAAACGGCACAACGTGGCTGAGGGGATCAGGGATTGGACTTCCTAAAAAAATTTGCTTGTACGATCCCTTGAAAGTTTTTAGTGGAAAAGATCGAAAAGTGTAATTACCTGTAACAAATGCTGTCCCATTTTATCTCCCGCTTTTCCTTCGTCAAACACGACAATCAGGGTATAGCCAGTACCAAATCTGGAGAGTAATTTATTACGTGGGTTTTTTCTCGATCTCAAACCCATCCTCTCTCTCTCTCTCTCTCTCTCTCTCTCTCTGTCTCTTTATCTGTCTATCTCTTTCCCTCTTCGCTCTAGACAGCTTGTCGAGCATTATCTTTATTCCCCAAGGTATCTCTCACTGGTTCTCGCGCGCGCGCTCTCCTTCTCTCTCTTCTCTCTCTCTCTCTCTCTCTCTCTTTCTCTCTCTTTCTTTCTCTTTCTCTCAGTCTCTTACCTTCGTTCCAAAAAGTGTGTGCTCCCCGACGCAACATCCTTCCCCTTGACCATAATCACAATTCGATCTCCCAGCGCCTCAGCCTCATCCATATAATGCGTAGTAAGCAGGATTGTTCTAAAACGTACCTCGTTCATTTCCCTGTATTTTGACTAATTTAAATGACGGTTTCAACTGCCCACTATCAGTACCTTTCCCTCTTCTCAACATCCAACATTTTTTGCACATCATTTCTGGCCCCAATATCCATCCCAGCTGTCGGTTCATCCAACAATACCACCTTTGAATCACCAATCAATGACATGGCAAGACAAAGTTTCCGCTTCATCCCACCCGACAGTGCCATCGAATACTAAAAGGCGTATGATAAGGGCACCACGTCGCCCTACCGTATTCTTCTTTTCACTAAGCCCAAGGGAGGCGAGGATGGCTTTTCCTTCTTTTCTCCAATCATTCGTTGCTCTAAAATATGGTATTGTAGATGAACCGAATATTAGAGTTCGTGCTGCAAGTACGGTACGGTACGGTACGATAGGGATTAGGTGTGTTACACACCCCTTAATTTGATGGAAAAACCATAAATGCTCCATAACTGTTAGTCTATCGAATAGAGCATTGCCTTGAGGACATAACCCGACGTTGTTAGTTGTCACCTGGAATGTTTAAGCTCAGAACGCTCTAACTAAAATAAGTTCTACCTCAACTCTTCCAGAACTCGGTGGAGTCAAACCGGAAATCACCGAAAATGTTGTACTTTTCCCAGCGCCATTATGACCAAGCAGCACGGTGACCTGAATTTTTTGCATGAGCTAAAGTTTTCGAAAATCCCTACCTCTCCCCTGTACGCCTTCAAATTCATGTCTTTTACTGCCATCTCGCCGGTCGAACCCCAGACCTCAAGAATTATCGTATACTTACAAGAAGCCAAGATCCAGACCTTTTGTAGGTGTTCCACTACGATATCTGCATGCCCATTCTCGCTGCGCTTTTCATGTCCATCGGGGATTGGCTGGATTTCGTCGATTTCAGAAGATGACCCAACTTTTCCTTTCTTAAATTAGCATTTATCGCGTTTTCGTCATAATTTACCGATAGCCATCTCTTAATAGCAATTGCCATCGAAAAATCGGTGTATTTATGGTACAACTCTGCGGCTATTATAACGAGAATCATCCATAGACAATCAAAAATGGTCATCAGCGTCGCGGGACCAACATTGAAGATGTTGTCTGTATCTTCGAAGAAGGTACTTCCGGTTAACCCTCGATCTAAAAATCGTATTTGGCTGTATTCCTACCATTAAACGCAATACTAAATATCTAAAAACCTACTTCTCAGTAAATAACTTCTCGCTGATAATAATGAATATCCATAAGCCGAGTTATAGTTTAATGAAGCTAGGCAGGCCATCCAAGGCTAAAATTAAGATATTTTTGAGCTAATTTTATAAAACTTACGCTATAGACTGACGGCTGGAGGGGTGGGATGATAAATAAAGCAATCAAACCGGAATGTACGATGACGACAACTTAAAATAATTAGCGACAGTATTTTAAACGATAACAGGGTTAAAAAATCGTTTTTTTGTTTTTTTAAACCAAATTTTTTTTTTTCAAATTTATTTTTTTTTTTAATTTAAAAAATAAAATTAAAAAAAAAAAAAAAAAAAATTTTCCTTTTTCAAAAAAAAAACCTTTCCCTTTTTTTATAATATTTTTAAAAAAAAAAAAAAAAAAAAAAAAAAAAAAAATAAAAAAAAAAAAAAAAATTTATAAAAAAAAATAAATTTTTTAAAAAAAAAAAAAAAAAAAAAAAAAAAAAAAAAAAAAAAAAAAAAAAAAAAATATCAACCCTAAAAAAAAAACCAAAAAAAAAAAAAAAAAAAAAAAAAAAAAAAAAAAAAAAAAAAAAAAAAAAAAAAAAAAAAAACAAAAAAAAAAAAAATTTTTATAATACCTTTAATAGCGCTATTTGACGTTGTAAAAATACATGCAATAGCCGCCGCACAAATCATACACGCCAGGGTGTAGAAGACCAACGGGACAAAGATGAACGCCGGCTGGATGTACCAGGGATGATGCTCAAAAAGCAATTGTTTTATTTTAAAATAAATGGTCTGAACTACCACAAAGCCGACGGCCGGATTAGCCAAGCAAGCTCCGGCTATGATAAATGCCTTTAGCCATCCGATAAAAATGTGGGAAGACAAGAAAACGCCACGGCTCATTCCCATCACCGAGAGAAAGTCCTGGAAATTTTAAATTAAAAAAATGTCGCATTTTAATCTAGAAAAAATAGTGTCACTGTCCCTTTAAAGGGAAATGCAAGGTAATTTTAAAATGAAATAACATAAAATCTGTACTTTCTAGAACTACCGTACCTTCATCCCACTCTCCTTCTCCGCAGCAATTTCTCTAGCCGTATAAATCATTGTCGGCAGCACAACAATCGCAATTATAATTGGCAGGAATGAATTTGCATCCTAAAATCCGGACTATTTTAAAGTGAACTACAGTACCATCCAAAATTCATACGCGACGTCCGGGTTTACCATTGGCACCATGGTCACCGCGGGCAGTTCAGCACCTTTAACGAGCTAAATGACAATTTGTAAATTTGCTTAAAATTGTAATATTACTTTTAGGAAGGCGGCATTTAATGAATGCATAAATTTTGCATCCGTTCCATCAGTATTTGCACCCCATGACTAAAAATGGATTCAAAATGTTATAATAGACGTTCAGGGTCCTCTCGAAGTACCGGGTCCTTAAAAATACCTGTTGCCACTGTCCCATCATCGCAAACGGTTCATCCCCATTATTCCACGTCTTTCCAATTGACGCATTGAAATTGTCGTCCGGCAGTAGGAAATCGTAGGACAAATGCGGTTTTTTGAGGTCGACCTCATTAAATACAAGGCCACGGTAGAGGCTGGAAAGGAGGGGATAGTGGAACGGTTTTAAAGGGATATGCCACTACGCAAAACTACTAAATGCGCCTTCGAACACTTACGTTCCATTCGGATCCGTGCGTAGTTTATCGACAATTTGTTGGTATTCGGTAAATGCTGTAAGGGCGCATGGTGCTGGACCGCAGAATTGGCCAATGAGGGCGGTGAGGGCTGCTTTGTCCACAATATCTGCGACCCTGGAAAATATGGCTACTGTATTAAATAATGTAATATGATTCTTTATCTGACCGACTGTCAATAATAAAATTAATGGATGTAATTTCAATTGGAATATAATTGATAAATGCTTTAGAAAAATATACCAATAGCCATATAATCGATCCCCTTGAGATGCTGGGAAAATTGGATTGACAACATCGACGAGGACGTCAACTTCACCACGCGTCATTTGGGAATCATCGTAGTACTAAAGGAACGTCCACAGTTTACATATATTAAAATTGGCTTTAACTTCAGCGTAACGAACCTGATAAACCGAAAATGAAACGGGCATCCCCAAGAAAAGCGCAAAAAGGAATTCGAATAATAGCCATCCCCATCCTCGTCGTACCGTAATCCAGCTCTTTCGCATCATCAATACGAAAAGCCACGCATGGCGCAGCGGACCCGGTGGTCTCATTTTGCCCCAACTAAAGAATAATTAACCGAATAAGCAAATAAATTATTAACAATACCATAAAAAACGGAAAAACTTGCGCTTAAAATTGATAATTCGATTTTAAAAAGAAATTGCGTATCTCTAGGCTGCAAATATTCGTGGATATGGTAATTCGAGCCAAGCAGCATTCTCGAGTGGGTTTTTTTGTTTAAAGAGGCAAACTGCAACGGGCATAATTATCTAAACTACCATTTTTGCAATATTAAGTTAATGTATAACTGTTTAAGGAATGTTGGCTCCTACAATTTTTTATTAATAACAATAAAATAACAAATATAAATAAAATAATAAAATATTTTTTAAGATCCCGAAAAAAGATTGATTAGAATTCAACATACTCAAAGATATAAAAGCATACATAATTAAGAAAATTTAGCTTTAAAAATATTGTTATTAAATTTTAGACAAGAATAAAGTTTATTTGGCTTGATCTTTCCCGTTTTAGACAACCAAATCCAACCGACAAGAACACCAGATTAAATCCCAAGCTTATCAATTTCCCAAAAAAAAACCCAGCAAGCCCGTACCGCCTCTAAGTTTGAACTGATTCCCCCATCAGAAGCATTACAATCTAGGAAAAAGCCACGAAAAGAAATGACGACCCTCCAAAAAGGGAAATGCCCGGAAGATAAGCTGCCAGTGACGGGGTGAATCATCTGCACATTCGCATGAAGACTGGAGAAGATAACCTGTCATCCAAAAATATACAGGACCCAGAAGGGGGTCTGACCCTAAAATACAGTCCAGCGACCAGGGGATTCTGATAGCTGACACGTCACGCAGGAATCCACCGTAGTACGAATTGACTACAAAAACTGGCCATCCTTAGATTCATAGTGATTCACCAAAAACGACACCAAGAAACCACTGATAAATGGAGATCAAGTGACGTTTGCAACGGCTTGCAAGGCTCGGCTTCGAGGAATTATTTTTCCACAGGGATCTAGCTGAAAAGGTTTAAAAAGTTTATTCTAGTTGGGGACCACTATCGGGGGTTCAGTGATTGTGATTGCAAAAAAGTTTGTTTGAGCTTTAGCAGCTAGGCGGAAGGGAAAGAGAGAGAGAGAGAGAGAGAGAGAGAGAGAGAGAGAGAGGAGAGAGACAGACAGAGAAGCCCGGCGACCATCGGCAAACTTTGGTCGATTTCGCCATCCACCATCAGATCATGGCGAAATCAGGCCAACGTCTTCGATAGAGAAACTCTTGATCTAGGAACATTTTTAAAGGGACTGTAAACTCATAAAATAGAGGGATCGAGCGAAACGGCAAAATTCGCCAGGAAACACCAGACAAGTTTGGATACGCCTGATGTTGCTTCCGACCAGCGTATCTATATGATTTATTTTTCATTTAAGTGTTACAAAAGTTTCAAAGCAACACGGTGGAACTAGTTATGGCGGTTCTGAGCCGGGTAATTATCATAAATAAAAAACCATAAATATTTCATTGTTGTCCGTTTTAGCTCGCAGGTCTCGCATCCATCCACGGTTTTCCATTTAAATTCAAATAGTGAATAAATGATTTTAGAAGGTTTCAATGCGCAATTTTCCGGGACTATCATTAACTTTAAAAACCGGCCACGGATACACGGCCTTGTCCATAACAAAAACTAAATTTTTGGCTTATTGATCCAAAGTATAATTTGATCAATGGTTGATATTCATCCTCGGGTTTTCCGTATAATCAAGCCGGACAATTTTCCGATAGAAGTTCATGGGCATAACGATGTGGAGACAGGAATCTTTAAAGGGGTCGGAACAGGTGCTTGCTTTGTTAATGCTAAATAACCAATCCAAATTATGCATTTGCTGGTTCATATGTTGTCATCCTCTCATTAATGGATGGGTTCTATGAAGACATTGATTGTTACTTTCTCAATAATACGCCTTTCGTTCGGAGATTTCGAGCAGCCCGAGAAGTTGTTATTGGACAAATCGTCGCATGTTTCCAACCGTTTGGGACGATCGGCTTGGCTACATCTGGAAATTGTTATTATGTTGTATTGGAGTGAATTCGTCTCTCTCTCTCTCTCTCTCTCTCTCTCTCTCGCTTTCTCTTTCTCTCTCTCTCTCACTTTGTGCTCCATCCGGAAACAATTAGGGTACCCTTTCCCCCGGCCGTTGCTAACCCTCGATGTCCGCTCACATTTCGTCCTCCTCCACCGCCCTTTTTCCGCTATTTTATTTCACACCGACCCGACCCGACCTCCCACTGCTTCACTCTACCTCACACGCACCGCCACACACAACATATTTTCAACCAATTTAAAATCGAGCCTCTCACCAACACGTGTTTCTCAAACCCAATTTTTAAAAAAATTGTATTGCTGTTTCGGGCTTTAAGCTTTTTGCTATCATTTTCAGCATAATCCGACGTGCAACTAGTTATTGCACCTTGAATAAAGTATATCTCTATAACTCTGAATGCTCGTTAAGGGGTCAATAAAGGCAAGGCTATGGATATTGCCAGCCTGGAAAAAGACGCAACGCAAAAAGTCGCCGCTGCGTTTCGAGGTTCTAGCAAAATCCATAGCAAAAAAGCTATAGCCGTATCTTGCCTGGCCCTATAATTAGAGGCCTTCTATCTCCATCGAACGTTCATTAATGCGTCCACAAGCGAAGTCCTACCTTTATCGTGTTTTTGCTTATTTTTGTAGATAGACTTTTTTAAATTGGTTTATCCTCGCGATCTTTGCTTTAAAAAACGCTTTTCTAGTAACCAGAATGAAAAGAGGAAATGAGAGTGCGGAATAGATAGAGGAGATGGGTTTTAATTATCTTTTGTTTCTCTAGATCGCGCTCTCTCTCGCTCTCTCTCTCTCTCTCTCTCTCTATCTCTCTCGCTCTCCCCATCTGATCGACCCTTTCGACCCTCGTCGTGGCGACGACCGCTTCACAACCTAATTAATTAGGGAATTGGTGTGGAGTGAGGATGAGAGAGGGCGTGAGAGATAGAGTAAGAGTGAGGGAGAGAGAGAATGATGAAAAACTAGAGCACGAGAGCTTAGGGAGAGCCAATATAACGGAGGTTTTGTGAAGAGGGGTGAGATCGGTTTGGAGGGGCAGAGAAGACATCGATCCTGGGCCCTTGCTCTCTCTATCCCCACTCTCCTTTTCTGGCCTCTCCCCCCTTTCTCTTTTCTGCTTTTTGGCAGTTCTGAAGCCCGGCTCTTCTGAATGTGCTCCCCCCGCTCGTTAGATCTAGTCTATTCGTCTCTGCCTCTGCACGCTCTCTCTCTCTCTCTCTAACTCTCTCTCTCACTCACTCTCTCTCTCTCTCACTGCATCTGCTAGATCTAGTCTGTTCGCCTCACCCCTCCCCCAATCTCTCCCACACTCTTCTGGCGGCGTTTCCGAAAAGTCTCACCTCATCTCTCTGTCTATGTTTTGCATCTCTGTGCTCTCATTCCTTCTATGGGCCCTTCCCCCAATGGGGCCCAGTAGTGGCCTAGAGGGCCCATGTCCACCTCCAGCCCAGCCCAAAAGGTCCCGCCCCCTTTTTTCGGCGGCGGCGCAACCCCATTTTCCGGGCTGACGCCTTTATTTTAATAACCCTGTCCCATTTTTCGTTGCATAACCGGGTATGAAAACGTATGGAAATGGAGTGTTAGGTTCCTGGTTCTGCATTTTTAGTGTTTTTTTTTGCAAAATACATTGTTTTTTAGTTAAATCTTTCAAAATAGCTAAAAAATTTATTATAAATCTGTTTTTTAAAGCATTTTAAGCAACTGTTTTGCTAATTTGAATTTTGTTTACAAATTATGCCGCAAAACAGCGCAACGTGGTGAATTTCGGAGTTTGTTGTGAAAACATATTTGTTTGCTCGTTTTTATTTTAGTTAAAATAATTTTATATCGTCGCGAAAACCCCTCAATTTTTTAAAACTTGTTTTACCATTAAAACAAACAAATCATACATGTTTATTTTAAAACAAAACTCCATATTTCCCACGCTGCCCTTTTGCGCTGCACAGCTGTTGCATTATGGCTAATTGAACCCGGGAGTTTCCCATATAAAAACCTCTACCCCTTCCTAACCTCCCTCTAAAGAACAACAAAGTGAAACAAAGACTTTATCCTTCTTTCTCAGTTCTAAACAACTGCCACGCTCCTCTTAAACCCATGCTCAACCGCTCAGCTTATCACACCCCTAAAAACTGTTATACCCTCTATCCACGCATAATCTTTTGTTATCCCCCAGATTCGCGGGGCACGCCTGTTTTCGCAGCCTCACACGACCATTGCCGAGGGGCCGATTAACTTATCAGAAATGGCGGGGTTGGCCGGGGAGGTGGAGGGGGGATGGAGAGTAACGAAAAACTGCAGCCAAAAAAGAGGGAGATGTCGCCTTTTCGAAGCCCATGATTACATAGGCATTAGGCCAAGCCTGCCCCCTCTTTCTCTGCACTCCACACACATACACAGCTAGCCGCTCTCCACCAATACAGCTACCAGGCGATACAACGCTTGGGAAATGGTTTGGCTTCGCTTAGGCTTAGCTTAGATTTAGGGCTAGGGTTTAAGAAGGTCATTACGATTGAGAGATCTTCATGTATCTCTTGCTTTTTCTCTATCTCATTCACTCTCTCTGGCTCCCTCTCGTTGTCATTCTCACTCTCACCTTCACTGTCTTGCTCTTTATTTTTCGCACACTTGGCCCTCTGTCTCACTCTCTCACTCTCTCTCTCTCTCTCTCTCACTCACATTCTGATCTTTCTAATCGCTCTTTTCTCCTTCTTGTTCATTCTTTTCTCCGTCAATACGTAATGACTCTTCCTGTCTCGCTCGCTTTAAAAACAAAACAACATCTCCTAGCCGTTCAGGCACCCGTGCTCAACCTTTCAACCCGTCGTAAACCCTAAAGTTCCACGATTTCCAATGATATTCAGCACCCAAACACATTTAATGCCCCCCTCCCCCCAAGAACCATCAAAAATTCACGAAAAATCTCTCCCCACCTCGCCTGCCCAGGTTTTTCGAGCGTTTGATCCCAGGTAGCCGTCTGGATCCTCGCGATTTCGCCCTGCTGCCTACAAATTCCCTAAATTTGTAGCGACCCCCGGGTGTTTTTTAGGTTTCCGGATTTCGGGGAGGAAGCACGCAAACGGGTGGACCCTCCCTCCCTCCATCCTTTCCGGAAATTTCAGATATCCGGGGGATACATTTTAAGGGTGTTTCATTAAAGGGGAGGGTGTTACGCATTTCCGCTCTGTTTCTAAAATTTTGAAGCTTATTTCAATACCATACTACAGTTTTTCAATAAACCGCTTCGCGGCATTTCAAGCTTCTTTGTGTGGAACGTCGAAAACCCTATTCAAAAATAAAATTAGACTGAATACTATTTTTTAAATTTACGGTAATGCTCCATACAGTGCTTGAAGCAACTCGCCGCACCGCCCTCTCTCAATCCGTATTTTACGACTTTGCCCAACCATCATTTTTACCAATTTTTTTTTCAGCGCGGCGATGGGCGAGCCAGGCGGCTGAGGGCCGGCCTGCAGACTAGCGATTTTTGGGGGTAGAATGAATACGATCGGAGAAGAAGTTCGACAAGGAGGGCAACCCTTGAATCGGCCGTCAATACATCCTGTAACATCATTCCGGGATACACCACTGCAAACCCATCAACTGGTGCAACACGTCGCGAATTGTTTTGGTGGGTTAAAGTTATTAATTATATCAATTGAAATAAATAATAGAAAAATAGCCTTGTATTTACCAATTAAATCAATTTAAATCAGTATTAGATTCCCTATGCTAATTCCCGGCAAACAAAAAAATAAAAATACTAAATTAATATATCTAAAATCGCTTTCTGTATTTCATATGCGGAATTATGAAATATAGAGCAATAATCTTAAAATTGCTTTTAATGAAATCCCAATCTCATCCTCCCTCTACCCAATTTCAACATTTATCTGCCCCAATCCAACGCAACAAATTACGCTAACGAAACCCGCATTACCTCCCCCATCCCATCCACCCGCCAAGAAAAATGTAGTCATCAAATCCACAATATGCCTGCCGCCCGCTTGAAATCCTACAGATTATCTCCCCCACCCCCTCCACCCGGCTTTACTCGCTTCGGGACCTACTCGGGGGTATCAGCCGAATTCTCAGAAATTTCGGGACCCGGGATGGAAAAGGGCAAAGTATGGGGAAAAAATTAAAATAAAATACGGGTTTATTAGAGACCGTAAAAGTTAAACTTTAAAGGCATACCTAAAGAGTTCTACTTGGGTGTTTTTGTCTTACTTTCTCTTTTTTTTACTTTGGGTTTAGCATGCAAAGTAGATAGCAGACCAATTTCAAATGAAATTCGGCGCATGGGCGGATGCAAATCCCTAGCAAATCCGCGCGTAAACATTAATTTCGAGGGATCGTTGCTTACCGTGGTCGGGATTTTATTGCGGGATTTTTGGGGAGCCTGATCGGTTTCTCTCTCTCTCTCTCTCACTCTCTCTCACTCTCGCTCTCTCTTTGTCTATCTCTCTTTTGCCTCACGCTGTATCGCGCTCTCTCTATCTCTCTCACTCTCTCTAGCTTTCTCTCTCTCTCTCTCTCTCGCTCTTTCTCTCTCAGCCTTTGTATTTCTCACACTCGCTCTCACCCGCGCACTCTCTCTCTCTCTCTTTCTCAACCTGGCACCCTCCCTTTAAAAATCTCAAATCCCTCACCCCGCCAACATGTTCGATTTCCACTATACACCGAACAAGTTGGTTGGCTTCCAAAAAACTTTCACACGTCTCCATCCATAGTGGGGCCAGCCATCCACTGGGCCCAAGGGAAGAGAGGCATCGGCCCCGCCATTTTTTGGAGCATCCGGAGGGGGGCACGCTGGCTGGCGCTGCCTGCCTGCCCGGGGGGATCCGCGTGATGAATTTGTTTTTGGGGGAATTCTGACGAGGGCTGAGGGGTAGAATCCATCTTCCATCACTCGCTCGCGCTGTGCGGGGCATTCGACGCAAAAAGTTTCCGAGTTTTGGTTGGGGTGCAAAAGCTGGGTGGAAAGCTGGGTAGCTATGCTAAAAATGATGTAAAATAGCCCTAAGCAAATTATAATCCATTTTATCAGCATTTTACAATGATTTTAGGTATCGTAAACCACATAAAATTCTAGCCATTTACGATTACTTGATCAATAATTCTATTTTTTCACAATTTCTCGAATAATAAATTTTTTTCTTGCTTTCTAGCAATGCAAATCTACTACAAATATTATAAAAATGCACTATTTATTCCTAAAAAGCAGGTGGCATAGGCGAAAAATGAAAATAAGCGTCCCTTCCCACTTCCGCTTCAACATCTGCCCCAAAATCCCCCGACATCATCATCCGCCCAGATATATTTGTTGCAGCCGTGCACATTTCCATTCATTTCCCCTCCCCCCTGCCAGCTCTTCTCCCCCGAGCTAATAAAATGATGGACGTACAAAATATGTGCCCCCTCCACCCCGCCTACGCTCCCCACTATTTTTTGCCCCCAACGCCAACTGGAAGTGGGCGCAGATTAGTTTTTGGGCGCCACAAATGACATTAGCTCGACATGGATTAGAAAAAAACTGGAAGCCTGGCGTCGAAAAAACTTAATCTGGGAACTTGGTGGAAACAAAAACCAGGAGGGTATTTTGGGCTGGGAGTGGGATTCGGATTAAGGTGATGGTCGTTTCGAAGGGGTTAAAAGGGGTCAGGGAGAAGTCGTGAATTCTTTAAAATTACCGTAAAAATGTAGAAACTGACGTAGAAACAGCTACGCGACGCGCCAAAATACGAGTAAAGAAGCGGGTTGTTTCCAATGGAATTATTCCACGAAATGCGTAACTGTCGAGACCTAGGCGAAAGAGGGTAGATTCTGCCTCCACTCAAGGTATTGAGAAACAGTTTCTCGGCTAAATTATCTACAGCCTCTCACGATATAAAATACATAATTTTTAGATGATTACAAGCTATTTCAGTATTTTTTAAAGTCTAGACCTAGTCGAAAAAGCGTCGATTTTCACATTGTTTGCTCTCTTCAAACCGCTCGCCTGATTTCGCGCTGAAAACAGGAGCACTTCCTTTCCCTACCCTCTTTCCCAAAAAGCAATTCTCGTAGACATTCTATTGGGGGAAAACGGGATCGTAAAAATACACGGCTCGTCTTTTCTCTTTCTTACCGTAAAATTCGGGAATCGAATGGCTATTGGAAAGGGATGGAAATGGGAGAGGAAGGGGAAGGTGTCGAGGGGCAGGGGTTTATAGTTTATCCAGAAAATTGAAATTTCCTTGTGAAGAAATTTAAAGAAGGGTAAAAACAAAAATACGACGGATATGTGTGTAAAAAATTAAAATGTTATCTTTTCAGATCATGATGGAGAACTATCAGACGAACAATTCCCGCATGCCCTCTTCCTTGCCCATCCGTGGATCATGGATAGCACCGAGTTGCTCGCACTTTTCATTGCCCTATTCCAGGTTCGATTTAAAAAAATAAATATTATTAGCGAAACATTACGTTAATTAAATTAGTAGATACTAAATAGTTAAATAGTCTATTGAACGTTTTTTAGGAAACCGAAGACACTCTATGCAAGCGACGTGTTTGCTATGCGGTTTCCTTTTGGATCCGCAAGTTTCCGTTCCATTTTGATGGCCAAAAACAGGTAAAATAGTTTTCCTTAAATTTATTTTGATTGGTTTTTACCAAATTATAATAATTTTATAAAATTCCCTTTTGAGCTATGCCAACTGGTGGAACGGCTCCGAGCTGGTGCACTGGATCTAGGGCCGGAATGCATCGAGGGGCTAGATGTGGCCACTTTGTAAGAATCTGCAGATTAACTTTTATGATTTTTCATATAATTTCTTAATGACTTTTTTATATTAATGGCCTATATTTTCAGACCCTCCTTTTCCTGGTTGCGCTCAATGTCGGTTAGGAACCCAGTCGTACGTCAGGTTTGTTTATAGATACTATTACTTTCCAAAGTTATTGACTTTGAATTTAAATTTTCAAACATGATATATACTGATCATTTGCTGTTAAGGTATCCCTCAGTTTCGAGCAGTGGAGCCCCGAAGACCTCTCAAACAGCCTATCACATATCGATTTTAAAATGCTATCTAGAATCCCGGTAATTCCAAGTTTACAGTAATCCTTAAAATGCCTTTTTTAAGGTTGCCGAGCTCAAACGCTATGTCAAGGAATCGAGCCTGGCAAATACTCCGATAATGGAGCGTAGTATTACCGTATTTAATGTAAGGTCTTTTTCTTGATGTTCAGGTAATTTTTAGAACCTCACAAACTGGGTCCAATGCATGATACTGTCAAAATCCACGCCAAAGGAACGGGCGGAACTTGTTACGAAGTTTATAAACGTCTCAAAAGTAGGTTTTTAGTTCCTAAATCATAATTATTTTAATTTTCAGTGCCTGCGCCGCAACCACAATTTCAACACATTAATGGCGGTCGTAGGAGGGATTACACACTCAAATATATGTAGACTGTCGAAAACGCATGCCGCACTGGCGCCGGATATCAAAAAGGTTTGTATTAAGTAATTTGCATTTTTACTTGGCGCTTAGGAACTTCATTCGCTCACCCAGCTCCTTTCCGTTCAATCAAACTTTGCTCAATACCGACGGGCACTCGCCGAGTCAAATAACAAAGTGAAAATACCGATTATGTGAGTTTTGCTCGGTAGTTTTATCTCTCCATCTCTTTCTCACTCTCTCCCTCTCTCCCTCTCTCTCTCTCTCTCTCCCTTTCTCTCCCCCCTATCTCCCGCTCTCTCTCGGTCTCTTACTCCCTCTCTCCCTTACTCTCTCTCTTTCCCTCTTTCTCTCTCTCTCACTCCCTCCCTCTCTCTCTCTCTCCCTATCTCTCGCTCGCTCTCTCTCGGTCTCTCACTCCCCTCTCTCCCTCTCTCTCCCTCTCTCTCTCTCTCCCTCCCTATCTCTCTTCTCTCCTTATCTCTCGCTCTCTCTCGCTCTCTCACTCCCTCTCTTTCTCTCTCTCTCTCTCTCTCTCTCTCTCTCTCTCTCTCTCCTTTTTTCGCTGTATTTACATCTTATATTTTATTTTTAGGGGTGTTCATCTAAAAGATCTAATCGCCTACAACATGAGCGGAAACGATTTTGCGAAATCCCGCATCACGACTAGGCGCAAAATTTTGAGGTTAAAACAGCAAAAAATTGTTTGATCGGCTATTTTAGAATGGCATCCCTATTATCGTACTTCTTAATATTCAACGCGACCCCTCTCTGTTATCCAGATGCTAATTTAGATCTTATCAACACGTTAAAGGTATCGAGAATTCAACTAAATCTCTCAGCTACTTTTTTCCAGGTCTCGCTTGACATCCGATATAATGAGGACGACATCTATGAACTGTCGTTGAGGCGGGAGCCGAGGACCTTGTTAAACGTAAAGTGAGAGGACGATTCTAATTTGCGCTTGTAGTTTGAATCCTCGCAAAAAGCCGTGGTGTTCGCCGACTGGGCTTCTGGGGTATCGCAGGCCCCGGATCCGGAAACCGTCGAGAAGCATGTCAATGCTATGGTGGATGCCGTGTTTAAGCACTACGATCATGACAAGGTATATTAAGTTAATAAAACAATATCCACTAAAAATAGCGTTTTGTAAGCCTAATCTTAAGCCTAAACTCAGCTAGCAATAATGGGGCCCAATGATAAACTTATTTCCAGGACGGCTACATCAGCCAAGCCGAATTCCGCCAAATTGCCGGCAATTTCCCCTTCATCGAGCCGTTCGGCGAGATCGACATGGACAGGTAAAAACGCCAAATTTCAAAAATCATTTTATTAGCCGTAATAATATGCAGAAATAAATTAGGACCCATAGTTTATTTTCCCCATCCGTATCCGCCGTAAGGGGAGTAGCCTCCGTATCCTCCGTATCCACCGTATCCTCCTAAAAAAGAATTTATATAAAATTATACTTTTATTTTATACTTTTACAGCATAGTTTTGATTTAATAAACTAACCGGGATATCCACCGTAACCTCCAGGGTATCCTCCGTATCCACCGTATCCGTGTCTACCACCGTATCCACCGTATCCGCGTCCGTACCCACGGCCGTATCCTAATATTAAATTTAATAATATTCCAATGCTATCTTCAAAGTGCTATTAGCATATTCCACTCCATGTGAATGTGTAGCCAAACTTATAACGTGCCGAACAACTTTTGCGTGCATTTTAGCATCCAGCTACCGTACTCTGATACATAGGGTTGCGCAGTCCATACGGGTCCAGCAAGTTTAATTGGAAACCGTAGTTGGAGTTCCCTCGGCCCGCGCCCCAACCCCAGCCTGGAATAGATAGTCACCGGGGAATTTGGGCAATTTGCATCGGGAGGGCAAAGCTGGGATGGTAATGAGGGGATGGAAAGTGGCTTCGTTGTGTTTTGTTGCAAGGGCGTCTAGGGGGTCGGGAAGTTGCAAAAGTTGCAGGAATAAGATGGAAAAATGTGGGTTTTGGGGGTTTATTATTAATGGGAGAATAAGTTATCACTAATGCTTAATATATTGTGTGTGGTTTACTACTAAAAATCTTACAAAAAAGATAAAAAAGCAAAGCTGTTGGTAATTTATCGACTACGTTATTGCAGGTAAAGAAACTATTATTGTTTGACCGAAGGCCACAAAGGTATTATTAATGCGGTTAGTAAAGTATATGAATATCTTAAGTAATTTTAAAGCGTCGAATAAATCCATATAAATCTATCGATACCTTAGCACCAAAATTTAGATTTTTAGAGCACTAAATTTCTTCATTTTTCACTTTTCTACCGCTCGAAAATGCTTTAAAACCCTAGGGAATACACTTAACGGCATAATATTTATATGCTTAGATACCTAAATTTATGCCGATGCCATTTTTCAACCTTTTAAATCCGTCTAAAAACACACCCCACTGAGCCTCAGCCAGCGCGAGAATAAGCAGCACAAGCAGGCACAGCTTCAGCATCTTCTGACTGACTTCCAAAACTGTCGTTCTGAATGGAATCCACGTAGCCTGATGATCCCTTTATCACCTCCACCTCCCCCCGCATCATTTTCTAATCCAGGTCACGCCCCTCTCATTCAACCAAAAACCGGCCAACCGCCTCGTTTGCCGAACCGGGCTTTTCCTTCCTTCTAGAGGGGATGTTGAAGCGGTGACCGAGTTGGCGAACGATATTATTTTCACTTTTACCAGTCCGCACCCCCCGCAGGGCAAGAAGCCATGGGGGGGAGCTCCTGTTTTTCTGTATCCAACACTTTTGGGTGGGTTCTATTTTGACGCATCGTCACCCCTGGGGCAGAGAGCGATCATCGAAACTCGGGTGATCAGTTAGGGAGTAAAAATTGATCAAATTCGATAATTAAATGATTTTTTGCTTAATAGCTTTTTTGAAAGAATATTTTATGAATATTTCGCTTAACCAGCTACCTATTGATTGGAGTAATAATTTTCAATAGTAAATAATTAAAGAATTTAAAATTCATAGAATCAGCCAAAGTGAAATTTTTCAGAAGACATCTTTAGAGACAGTCTAATGGTTTTTTGTCCAAGATTTTTGCCAATTTTGCTCTTCTTAATATCTAAAAATTTTTAAAACATCAAGGGTTTCGATTTTTTGATTTATAGAAATTGTTTAAAACGGAAATTTTATTTTTCTTAGTTTTGACTCACCTTTCTAGAACAATTTTAATTATTTAAAAATAGTAACACTGAAACAAATCACATACCTGTATCAAATTGAGTAATTGATAACTAGCACTGAATATAAGTAAAAATAACAATCTTTCAAGTTGTTATCGATCCTATTTCGGGGTCGCAGCCAGTCGATTGTGTTGATTTCACGCACCCAAAAATGAATAGTGCGACACGAGAGTTGCGAGCTGAATGGGGAGGGGGAGATCGCCGGAAAACAGGCTACCCGACCAACCGTTTATGGCTTTTCTCATTTCAGGGACAACAAAATCAGCCGGCTCGAGTTGGGGGAATATTTCGTGAAGATCAATCAACAATCAACCGCGTTGAGGAGGGGATTCAAGCATGATTTCCGGGAAACGACGTTTTTGACGCCGACCACGTGTAGTCATTGTACAAAATTGGTTGGTTTTTAGGGAAAAGAAAAACCAGAATTTTGACTTTGTGGCTATTAATAAAATATTTAAGTAATTAAAATTGATCAACAAAAACTTGTAAAGGTTTTTCAAAAATTACTTTTTTGAAAATTTATATGACCAAAAACAATTTTTCAAAATCAGAATTTTAAAAATTTGAATTATTAACACTTTATTATTGCTTTCCAAATGTTTGTCACTTATGGACGTCGAAAATCAATAGTAAGAAGAAAGCTTATTTTAAAGTTTTAAAAGAGAAAATTATTTAAAATTAATTTAAACCATTTTTCAGCTCTGGGGCTTCTTACGACAAGGATGCAAATGCAAAGATTGCGGCCTGGCTGTCCACGCGCCATGCAAAGTTTGTATAAAATTTTAGTTTGTAGCCGATTGTTTTAGGACAGCGCGGTGGCTGAATGCCGAAGGAGGAATTCCTCCGGAGGGCTGGCCGAGTGGCTGACCTCTCCCAGGGGTGACGTCAACGGATCGTTTCGGAAAAAGCTGTTTTTGAGCTACAAGTTTGTACTTTGTGGTTTTTGGGTATAGGTTTTGTAGATTTCGAAAGCCATCAACACCGTCGAGGGTGCGGACCGTATCTTCTACCGCCACTCCACATGCTTCTCCTGAGAGGCAGCCAAAAGCTGAATGCTCACGGTCTACAGGTAAAGGTTGTTGTTTTCAAGGAACTGGGCAGTAAGGGGATTGTAGATTAATTTTTAATCATATCAATTATATATTAATTTTTACTATATAATTAATTTTTTTAATTTGTGAAATTCAGCTCCGTCTGAACGAAGTCACGGTGATCGGCTAATGCCACCTGCAGAGATCGGAAGGCCCAGACCAGCAAGTTTGGGAGGTTTTGGGTAGGTTTTAAGGCTTATCAGACTTTTTAAAGGGTGTGCGCATCAAGAAAATATCCAGAAAGTTCCCAAATTCTTTAAAAACATATTTTATTCAAAAATTTTAGTGATGGTCGTAGCATGAGCGCCGAAGATGACCAATCCCAACTGGTCTCCCTCGCCATGGAAGAGGTAAGAATCTAAATTTAAACCTAAATTTAAATCCAGGTCTTCGAGGACGACAGCAGCTCCCAATATGAACTTTGCAGCTGATCGTCAGTCCCCTAGCCCCCCTAATCCCCCACCACATTTCATTAGTGCATATCGAATTCAGTTCTCACGCATCAATGCCGGTCACCGATCTCCTTTCAAAGTACTGTATTTTTCTCAAAAATCCCCATTTTAATTTGAATCTAAATTCATTTACGATTTATGATCCCATTTTTACCCTGTGTCATTTAAAAGTAACCTCTTTATGTTAATTTCTGGTATTTTAAGTTGAATATTGTTCATTCATCCTAATCAGCAGCTTTTATCGATAGCATAGCTTTTTTAAAACCTAATTTACCCATTTAATTTTTTGATTACTTTAGGTAGTGGTATCTGCACCAGATTTTCGATAGGTTATTTTTTACTGTCCGTTTAATAATCACAAAATTTCCATGATAAAATCCGTACCATAAGCTCAATCCGCCGAGCATGTCAATTCCCCCTTTGTCTCCATCTTCGCCCCTCGTTTTTGCCCCTACGTGTATAGTCGTTAAAGTTCATTTATCAATTTGCATTTTTCCCCCGCCGATAGCTTTAATGAAAACGCGCGGCTTAACTGATTACGCTTGTTATTTCTAATTTGTAAGGCTCGATTTTACTATCTAAATCCTTGCAGCTTGTTTATGCTGCTTGATTTAATCAGAAAAACCCAAATTTACTACCGTAATCAGTTAAACTTGCCGAATCCCGGTTTATCCCGTTTCCCCCAATTATCCCATAAATTTTCTTGCCCTCCCACTTGCCAGCCAATCAATACCCTCCGGTCATTTGTCGCTCGTTCCGTCCCTGAGGCGATAAATATGTTTTATGCAAATTTATATCACGATTGACTACAATATGGTACAGCAAATACTTGGCGCTTCATCTCGCCGAATTGGGACGCCATTTGCTGCCAGGAATGCCTCGTCAAACACCTGAATATGAATTTAAACGTAGTTATCTCCATTTTATGGGCCAAAAGGTTCAGTTTCCGTATGCAAATTACCTGCTTCAAACCGCGTTGTGTTAAAGCTGAACAAGCCACAAACGAAGCACATCCCATTTCCTCGGCTAATCGCTTTACTTTTTCAACGGATATTCTATCTGATTCTGGTTGATTTTCCCAGGCATCTTCCTGAATACAAACGATTTAATTACCGCTAAGCTATTACAAATATTTAACACCTTCAAATCACAAATTTATGTAAATTTTATCGGTCTAATTTACCTTTGTCCCGATGAGCAGCACCGGCACCATGTGACCCGTGTATTTACGAATTTCCGGCATCCATATTGACTAAAAAATTTGGATTTGAATATGGATTTAAATATGGTACCTGGCAAGAATCCAGGGTCGTCGCATCGGTCATGGAAAAGCATAGCAAAAAGACGTTTGTTTGTGGGTAGGAGAGTGTTCGGAGGTGTGCGTAACCTTCCTGGAATTTGCCTAAGTTTATAAACATATTCAAATAAAAATAATTGATCAGAATTTAGTAATTTTTTGGTATGTTTCATTTTAATTCACGATATATGAAGCGGGCAATCTATATGTCAAAATTGATTTTGAGGGGCCAATGCCAGGAAAGAAAATGCATTTAACTGACCCTAATCTCACAATTTTCTGATAACTTTCGGGTCCCAGCGCCTTGAGATATCGTAATCTATTGCGAAACCTAAAATTCGAAGCGGGCGCGTTGCGTGTAGTCCATTAAAGGGACCGGGAAGGCATAATCCATACCTTTCCGATCCCTCTAATATTGCACCAGCCCGCAAACCCATTAGCCAACCCCCTATAGTTAGCTTTTCGATGTTTACCCCCCAGATTCCACAGCTTTCAGCCTGTCAGAAACATTCGTAATCCGTCTTCTTCCAAATTCCACCAGACAGACACACAACCTCGCCCCTAGGGCTGACCAGCAAATAGACAAACCCCCGTTCGGTGCGGCATTAGTTTTTTCGCGGGGTGCCTAATTCGATTACCATCCCCCGGATTAGCCATTCAAGCACAGACAGAAGCTTTAAAAGGATTTTGGGCGAGTAAATCCGGATGTTTTCCGGGAAGTTAAAAATGGATACGGTGGATTTATGAATGGGGGTTGGGTAGCTATTTCTCAAGGAGCATTGAAGACAAACATTTGTTTGGAGGTGATTTTTAAAGTTGTTTATCTGAATGGGGACGCCCCAAAAACCATCATAGCCTTTCCTTTCCCTTTCAAGAATACCTGGGAATATCTATTTTTTGAATGTAATAGATGCGATAGATTACATACGATTACTGTAGCTTGAGCACATTTTAAGACTCCACATTTCCCCCAATTCTTAACCCCATCTTTGACAGTTCCACGTCCAGAATACCCGGATGACGGATCGTTGCGGGAACCCCTGCACCCCCACTCACCAATATTTACCCATAAGTTGACCCCATGTTGGCCCCCACCTATTTTCTCTGCTTCTCTCTCTCACTTTCTCTCTCTCTCTCTCTCTCTATCTCTCTCTCCTGTCGACACAAAATTCACCATAAACCTCAAACCAGAAATCTGCCCTTCGAATTGTGTGGGGGCCAACACGTGTTTTGTTGTATGGCGCGTAAAATTTTGGCAGAACGCCCAAAAATAATGAGCTCTAGGGCTGGGCAAACAAGGCGGCTTGCAAAGCTGGGCGTAGTGCTTGGATCGATTTTATGGGATCGTAATAATCACGAGGTAGTTCAGGGGATTTTGAAAAAATTGGGAAGTGTTTGTAGGTGGTTGTTCATCGGAACAAACTACCGCGGGGTTGGTCATAAGTTGAACGCGAAAGCCAGAGAGAGAGAGAGAGAGAGAGAGAGAGAGAGAGAGAGAGAGATAGGGAAAAGCAAACCTAACCAAATTAACTGCAAGGCTTGTTATGAAGGCTAACTAAGAGCTAGGGAAAAGCTTGAGGATTACTGTTTACTTACTCTTTTCAAATTTAAATTAGGTTTTTTGTTTACGATTTTAATTTTCAGAAACATTTTTAGCATAATTTTACATCATTAACTAACCTTGCCCGCCGTATCAAACAGATTAACCAAAAATCGTTTCCCCTCAATCGACACCGACATCGCAAAATTATCAAACACCGTCGTATCGTATTTTGTCACGAACCGTTGCTCCGTGTACGAGTGGAGCAGGCTGAAAAAAATATGAAATTTGATTTATTTAAATTTTGTGCGTTTCCAACTCCTTCATAACTGCTTACCCAGACGATAAATATTATCTCCCACCACCCAAATATCTCGCTCTCCCAAGAGCCACCTCACATAAAGCAAAGGGCAGAATATATGCCATAAAGTGAGGGTGTGGGAGGTGTTTATAGGAAAGAAAAGGACCGGACAGAGCCCCCCTTCTTGATTCTTTGAGAGAAGCCCCCCCCCCCCCCACCCCATCATCACTTCAAAGCCATTCTTCGGTCGCCATTGCCCCATTCAGACTGGTTGCCATGGGAAGAAACCGAATGCAAAAGAAATACGGGGGAAGACTGTATATAGACTGTATAGAGTGGTAGTTTGGAGTTGGCTAGAGTTTGAGGTAAGTTTCGTAGGTTTAGGGCTCTTCTGGAATTGTAAAATCTTGTTTGTACCGCAATTTATATATCATTAAAAACCAGTGGGCCCGAATTCTATTTTTATATTATTCCGTTAATAAGTAAATCCGGTAATCTTATTAAAAGTCATGAAAACTGAAAAAAGGGAAAAAGGAAATCCCAAAAGAAATACCAGCAAAACAAATGTTATAGCTTAAAAAAATGCCATGAATTCCTTAAAAATATATTTCAATTTCTGAATTCTCGATCAAATTTTAAAGTGCCTTATTTATAAAATCTTAAAATTTTTAAATGATGTTATTAATGCGATGATACAGGAGCGAAAAATAAAAATTTTAAACGACGGTTTGGGTTTTTGATATTTTGTACGGTTAATACGACGTACGATTTAAAGAATAATTATACGTAAAATTTAACTTATGTAGTTTTTTTATGAAATCCAGCGCTGAATTCGTACGAATCCAGCCAAAAAACCAGCCCACCCAAAAGCCCTCGTAAAAACAGGATCCTCCTCTTCCCCTACCCACCTTGTTTTACCAGTAAAACTATCGCCGACCACCACCAGTTTTAAGCGCGGCACGTCCTGAAACAATTCAAATTTTTGCATTGAAAGATCTGTTTCTACCTGAAAATTCGCATAATTCCCGTTACCATCGGTAAGGTGCGCGGAAAAATTGGATATTGTTGATATGGACTTTTCTTCGGAGGATGAGGGTTCCATCTAGAAATAAGTTTGGGTGAGATTTACGTAGAAAGAGCTCCAAAATTCGTCATAGAGGGCAAGGAAAATTCAAACGAATCTGGGGGCTGGCCAGGGGGGGCTTCTTATCACAAATTGATGGGTGATAGGATCGATATGGAGTGGATTTGAATTTTTGGGGTTGCTTGAGGCTAAAGATTGAGCTTACAACTAAATATAAGTCTTGAAATTTGATTTATTCAAAATGTTACGTTTATATAAGGAAAAAGGAAAAGTCCTGGCTCTAAAGCATGTTTTTTTCTATTGTTTTTGAAGTTAGAATACCCTTAAAAGCAGCAAATTCGACATTTCGCTAAATATAAAATTTATATAAACGTAAAAAACGTCTAGCTTCCCAAAAGTAGCCGAATTTTTGGCGTATGATCGGTTGAAACAAGGGGGTGAATCGCGAGAGCGGGGCCGGATCGAGAATCAATACTATTGGAGTAGTACCAGTAGTAGGGGCAGGAATCGAGAGAAGGCTGGGTGGAAGGGGGAGGAAAAGCATATGATAATTTCGAGGGGGGCTAGGAACGGGAATGTTGTGTCGAACAGTGTGTACCTCGTTTCGGGGCGCGGGCGCTTCTGCGCTGGTTCCGGGAGCGCGGCAAAAAAGAGGGGTGTTCGCGCGGGACACGGTCATTTAGAGCTGAAAGTGGTGCTGCTTTTACTAAACTATTTCGTTATTATTTTAAAAAGATAGTTCGAAAAGCCTAAAAAATAGAATTTTATAGCATAAGCTCAGAAAAAATTTGGTTCTAAACGGGAACAGGACATCTAAAAACGAGAGAGCGAGGGAAAGAGAGCGAGAGAGAGAGAGCGAGAGAGAGAGAGAGAGGGGGGTAGAGTTGAGGGAAGCAGATACGGCTAAACCATAGAAATCTATAGACAAAAAACCAAAGGTTGCCTTGCCGGTCGCTTTAAACCATCTAAATCCATAAATTTCCCATCCTAAATGGAGAGTTACACCAAACCAGCCGATTTTAGTCCATTTTTAACAACCGGAAGCACACCTCCACCGTAACAAAAAGCATCTTCTAAAGAAGCCGACGAACATACGGAACAAAACGCGGAAAGCGACGGAAAAGGGGGGGAGGAAGGCGGTGGAATAGTCATAGTGAGTGTTGTGTATAGGGGGGAAGGGGCTGAGCACTCCGGGGGTCCCCCCACCACACAACCACCACACCCCACACTCTATGTCTCTATGTCTCTCTATCTCTCGCTTTTTTGTTTGTCCTTCCCTTGCCTTTGGACGGTTGGGGTGGGATGAATATTCACTATAAGGGTGGATGAAGTGAAAGATTGGGGATTTTGGAGAATGGAAGGAAGATTGTGGCGTTTTAAAGGGTGAGTGACAGACAGTGAAGGCGGGGGGGCGAGAGAGAGACAGAGAGACAGTGAGAAAGAGAGAGCGTGTGAGAGAGACCGAGAGAGAGAGAGAGAGAGAGAGAGAGAGAAACAAGAGTGAAAAAGACCGAGAAAGGCATTGTGAGTTAAAAGTTCTGAAAATTCATACTTGCAATTTGCAAATCACGCTTTTTCGATCAATATCAAAAAATCCGACCGACAGCATAACTCAAACCTGCAAATAATTATAGCTATCAAACGCCAACCCCATCCAAGCGAAACAAAACCAAAGTTCATCACTGATAACAGCCGCGGATACCGACTATCAATCAACCCAGATGCACGCTTCCGCCCAGCTTCTGCATTTTTCGGGTGCTTATTGTATGAATGTATTGTTTTATACGCTTAAAACCCAAGAGATAAGGATTAAAGACCGTTTTTTACGCGCCGGGGGAAGATGTACTTCCGCGATCTCATTGAAACAAGGCAATCTCCGCGGGATCTTTGAGGATTATGATGTCGTCGATCTTCCGCTCTTCCATTTCGATCTTCGATCCCAATCAGAACCTATAAAATAGGGAGAGGGAACGTTTCCAAGGGAGCGAACCTTTCATTCAAGTTGGAATTTTTTTGGAAACTGTTGAAAAGCCTGGGATTGTAATTCTCTCTCTCTTTCTCTCTCTCTCTCTCTCTCTCTCTCTCTCTCTCTCTCTCTCTCTCTTTCTCTATTTCTCCGTGCTTATGACAAATCCTAAACATCTTTTTCCGATGGCGCCTTTGCCTTCATCTCACTTTACATTTTCGTCGCTCTCTGATTTTCCGAAATTTGCCAAATCTGTATTACTTTTAGAAAACAAGAAAACCATTAAAACCGAAGCAAGTCGTACGAACTACCACACAAAAATCAGCCCCTCACATGCGCCGCATCCCAACTATTAGAGTGAGGCGAATTTTTCAGGTAATCGCATGTCTTTAATATACCTCGAATACTCCCTTTCCATCCTTTTAGTCCGGTCTGCTCCTCGTTTCCGGGTTTTCTATATTATTCTTTCTCTTCTGGTCCCAAATAATCGGCTTTGAGCTGCAAGTTGCTGATCGGGGTGAGATTGCTTTAGACCAATCAAGCTAAAATTCCAGGAATTTTTGATGTATGCCCATCATTTGAATATCGTTATGATGATCCTGCTATTTTGATGGAACTTGGCCACACGCCAAGGCACAAAGGTACTCTTGATTTTTAATGACTTATTGCTTTTCAGAATGCCATGAAATAGAACTTTTGACTATTCTTGAGAATGGGAAACTGCGTATTAATGAAAAGTTTCCTGATTATGAAAAATATATTTGCGGGGCCAGGTGAATAAATAATAATTCAATAGTGCCTATAATAATATTTAGATGCGCCTGGTTTTTGCATAACTACCGTAACCGATACGGTGACTGGTGCACAATAAATGAGCATCATAATTGCATTTTCCCATGTGATGTTATCGAGGTAAAGTGTATGCTGGAGGGCAGGAAGGAATATGTTTTTGCTCATACGCAAATCTACCCCTACAGGTTCGCAGATAACTTGTTTAATATTTAAAAATCTCTTAATTTCAGTCGAAATCGCAGTGATGTTTTTGGGAGTTTATATAAAAAGACATTAACCCCGGCCATTGAGAAGGAGAATTATTTCCCTGATGTTCACATTTTGCTGTTAGATTCGATGGGATTAAATCCGGTGTTACGGTATGTAATACAAATACAAACGTGATATTTATATTTTTAGGCAAATGCCAGAAACGGTGGAATTTTTGGAGAATCAGCTCGATGCCGTCATTTTTAAACAGTACACCCGAACCGGAGAGAATAGTCGTTATAATATGTTGGCCGGATTTTTTGGTATTTTTTTTATTAAACGAGTTAGCAGAAAACCTTTTGGGAATCGAGGTTACCTGAAAAATTACGAAATTTACATAATAAAGCTATTTTCAGGTGAAATCCCGACAGCTATCGACCGTCGTTTGTATGGTGGTGGAATTCTAGAGCCATCGCTTGATAAAGATTTATGTAGTGATCCGCTAGACGATCGAAATTATGTGCAATTTGACTATGAGGTATTTTAACTTCCCTTAAAACAGTAATTTCTCGACTTTTAGGATGCTGGTTATAAAACGATGTATGCTCAAGATAATTATTTAGTAACGTTTGGTTATCTGGAATGTGTCGGAATCCAGAATCAATTGGCTACACATTATATGAGGTTTTAATTGCTAAGTGACTATAAAGCCTAAATTGCTTTAGACCTCATCAAATTCTCGGAATGTTGGAGGATGATATGTGGTCGAAACGGTAACTAATATTCTACTATATTTATTTAACTTTTACAATTTCTCAGGCCAGTCCGAAACCATACATTTGTTAACGACTATCTGTTGAAACGCTATCTTCGAAATGCATCGAATTGCCAGGAGCTTCACACCCAAGTTTTGGACTATATGGGCAAATTTTTGGATTCATATCCAGGTATACTAATGGTTTTTGGAAAATTTCAAAAGATTGCTAAAGAGAGATATCACACCAATTACGATAGGTAAATCAAAAATGTCGATCACCTGGTCATCACTGGCTCACAATGGCGAGCAGTCAATCAAACGGGCAGATCATACCATACGCAAATTTCTTGAGAAACATCAAGATACGGTACTTAGAATCTAAGCTTTTTTTCAATATTAGATTTAGCTCGACAATTCGTTTTTCATTTTAATGGGTGACCATGGGCAACGTTTTGATACGGTAGGAATTGAATTAATTCCAGTGGCAGTGTTAGATTCAAAAATCGGCGCAAGGAATGTACGAATCGAACAACCCGGCCATGTTCTTTTCGTTGCCTCGGAAATTACGGTATGGTTCCAGTAATTACGGAATTCAAAATAAGATTAGAAATACGACTTTGCACGAAGTGGCAAAGAGAAACTCCCGAGAATTGTTATCTCATCATGATTTATATGCAACGCTGATTGATATAGTTAGAGTGGGTTCTTAGTAGGATACTAAACTACAATATTTTATTACAAATCATACCACTTAATTTTAGCATCAACCCAGCGCTAATTTCAATGACACGGAATTCCGTGAAATCCAGAGTATACTTTAATCCCGAAATAACAACATAATTTCTAGATAGCCATGGTAATTCTTGGATCCGATCTCTTGACCCAAATTTATCCCGCGGATGCCGAAATCTGCCTATATCTAGTCAATATTGTACTTGTAATTATGGGGACTCCATTGTATCAAGGTACTGAAACACTTTAAAAATCAACACTTTAAAAATTGCACTTCATAGAACATCCCCAATGTGGAGGCGAATCTACGATGTTTTAGCCCTTGATATGAATCGTAATTTGGAAGCTGCTGGACTAGCTGATTTGTGTGACAAGATCGCTGTAATGAGGGTAATTAAATAAAAATTTTCCATCTTTAGGTTTATAAAATTTCAATCGTCTTTAGTTGTCTGAAGTACACAAAATGGGCTCTACGGGTAAGTCTAGCTACTATCGAGCAATGTTCGAAACGACAAGCGGCGGCGTTTTTGTGGTAGGTTTTCATAGAAATTAAAGAACTTTTATTAAAATCTAACCTTTTCTTTTTAAAGTTTAAATTTACTTTCAAAGGTACAATACGAATTTACGGCCAAGGAAGAGTTGATACCATATCCGGCTGAATGGAAACGGGTAAATGCGTAGGTTTTTAATATATTTGCATAAAATCTAGCTTGTGTACGCACACTAATATATTAAATTTAGCTATGGTACGGCTGCGGACTGTCTACATTCAAGACATCTTGCTTATAAGCCCCTCTGTTTTTGCAAAGATCAGGCAAAAGGGAATAAATAGTAATTTTTAATTGTTAGGTTAAGTTATCGACATTAAATTATACCGCGAAATTATATAGTGCGCAGAACGTCTCAAAATTACATAAAATGAATTTTAAATTTAGAAAAAAACAAGTGAAATTGATGTGGGAAGGCTATAAAATCAGACTTTGGACAGGCACTGAGGGCATACTATTCATCATCGTCCCTTCCTGTCCAGGTCCCATCGGGGTGTAGCTCAGTGGTAGAGTGCTCGCTTCGCATGCGAGAAGTCCAGGGTTCGATCCCCTGCTCCTCCAGACCCTTTTTGCTTTTTGACAAGAGCATTAACTAATTATGTTTTGTATCTTTACAGTCTTATTACCAACTTTTTCGACCCCTACACCCGCCTTATGCCGCCACACTTGTTCAAATACGTCCCCATTTCTGGGGTACTTGTCGGCCTTTTTTGTCGGGCAAGAGGGTACAGGGGAGGGCAGATCGGAGCAGCGGGGTTAATTGGATTGGGGCTAGATAGCGGATTATCTGCCTAACACCATTCCCTCCTTTCTGCAAATATACTGTAATAGGGCGGTGGATAGGGAAAAGAGCCGACAGTTGTTGCCCAATGAGTTGTCCCCACAATAATCATCTGTTGGCTGGGGGAGAGCAGAGGTGATTTGAGGTATTTGGAGGTGTACAGCTTAAATATTATAAAGGATTTAATAGACGCTATTTAATATAATACGTCAATAAAAGACCTGAGAGTGATACCCAACATCTCTGGAGGTCCCTAAAGTTGGCCCCAAACCATAAGGTCCCACCAAATAGACGTGTCGATGTGGTGTTCATCGGTCTAATTGGAGTTCTTTGTCTTGAAGACGAGAAAAAGATCGACAGAATGAGCGAGAGAGAGAGAGAGAGAGAGAGAGAGAGAGAGAGAGAGAGAGCTGACCATTCGATCGGTCCACAATTATCCCCTCTACCCAGTGAAAATACGGTATTGTCTCGAGAAGACTCCCGCAGCGCCCTGCCAGGTGCCGACAAGCTATTTAGCACTCATTGCATAATATAGAGACGTTTAAAGAAAAATCGGAAATTTTAAAGCCTTGTGAAGTAAAAGAAGTAAAATGGTTTTCAATCGAACTTGAGATATAAAAATATAATGGACATCGTATTTTAACCGCCAGAGCCTTACACCCTTACACTTTAAGTGATCGTATATTAATTACGAAGTTTTTTCGAAATATATCTATTTTAAATTTGACAATTTTAGGTAAATTTAACTACTATCGTCTAGATTTTTCTAATCCTTCTAGCGTTAATGAAATCATATCATCTAACCAGCCCATCTGCCGCCAATTACCAGTTCACGGTTGTGGGCCAATTACTACTAAACTGGTCTTGGATATCTGGCCGAATAAGGTGCATAGGTGCATTGCGTAATCTACACAATCTGCTCAATAATTGGCCTGCAACAAAGGATACCTCCCCAATAGGCCTGATTTAACGATATTGCCTAAAATTGGGTTTGTTTATCTCTTCCTAAGTTGCCTAATTATATAGACCCTAAAAATACTACTTCTATAACAAACATTAAAGTTCAGGAAAAGGCCAAAACTGCAACACCGGTGGGCCAGTCCTTTGGTTCTACAATTTTGATCAGCGTCCGGCCCTGTCCTAGTCCCGTCGGGGGTGTAGCTCAGTGGTAGAGTGCTCGCTTCGCATGCGAGAAGTCCAGGGTTCAATCCCCTGCTCCTCCAAAACACCTTTTGCTTTTTGATCAAAGGGCTTTAACAACTATTATTTATGCAAACCGCTTTACTTTTGAATCATAACACAAGATTGTCCGAGTATGAGCCTTCCGAATATCGGCGGGGTGCTTGCTTCCATCTTTCGCCATTTCCTCCATATTTCATGTTGTCAACCGCGTTTCTCGGAGGTCTGCTCATCACTTCTTACCCAGTCTCCCAATTAGGGCGCTTCTTGGGCTATTCATTCGCGAAAATTGCCTATTTTCCTGCACCGCTTGGCCCCTTTGGAGGTCCGAATAGGAGGGGGGAACTAAGGGGAGGAGGAGGAGGGACTAATTGTTTTCTTCTCTCCTCATTATGGTCATGTCAAGTATGAGGGTACCGTATCCACATGTTGGTTGTTATGATGTGATAATAATTGGTGGGGTGGTTTTAAAGGGATGAGGAAGGGGAGCTTATGGATTGTGGATATTGCCGCATCCGCGATACGCGACGCATATCGATCGATTTGATCGCGTAATGGAATACGCCCTTTACGAGCAGTTAGCAAAATTCACACTACCGTAAGCAAATGATATTTACCCGAAGCGTGCGAGTCGTTTTATTGCTATTTTTTATAGATTTCTTAATTACGGACCAAACGTCGCATGCGTTACGTGTCGTGGGCCTGACCAAATCTATAGCCAATCCATAACCACAAAAATCCCTTGCCATGACTTACCAAGCCCTTTAGAGCACGATGAAACTCAGGAATCTGTCTCCAACTATTCCCAATATCCAGAACTAGGTGCTAAATAGGGAACAGTGCCCTTACATGCCCTTCGGCGATCTAAAAAGGTACCGACAGTCAGGTCAGCTGTGTGTGTGTGGGGGTTGGGGTGTGATCTCGACCTGTCGAGTGCTAATTGAGTGGACAGCAAAAGGATTAGGATACTAAAAGGGTCACACTACGCATCCCAAGATGCCAATACGTCTCTAATTCGAATATTTCATCAAACCTATAACCTTAGCCTTTTAGCCTGATCCTCTAGCATTCCTTGCCAGCGACGACTTATGGGTTGAGTGGATAGCCTAAACGAGTTAGAAGTGAGAAAGAGGTCTTATGGTCCGCTGAAGCCATGGCCCAACCCGTCTTCCCCTATTTGCCCCATATTAGAGAGCCACCCACCCCGCACCTCCAGGAAATTATCGCCTGTCAATGGTCATTTGGGGGAAGGGGTGATTTGGTTTTCGGGGGATGGTTAGCGGAGATTATTTGGGAACTGGTATTATATTCGAATGGGCGTATATTAACGACATATCGGGTATGTATTAACGAGACTATCTGCTACCCTGCTCGTGTTCATCGGCCACTTCAGCGATTTCTGATTTGCATAAACCCCAATCGAGCCAATCGCCCGGGGATGCTTGACCCGATGGGTGCTCATTTTAGCGTTCATTCCCTTTATTGGGAAACCTTTTGTAATAGTATACCTTAAACATGTTTTTAAAAAGCAAATATGATTTCAGAAGTTTTAGAAGTCATAGCGAAATTAAAATTTAAGAGAATTTATAAAAAATATATTTATAGGCATTTTACGTATATTAAGCGCCTTCGAAGCCAGGAATTGAGTCGTATATAACAGAAACCCCACCTTAGCTTACTACTTCAATTTCTATTTTCAACTTTTCCTAGCAATTCTCAACTTCAGCGCCATTCCTTTAACGCCGTCGCTAGTCCTTCTATAGAATAAGATCTGAGTAATTAAACCAATCAGGGACGGACTAAAGCTTCTCTCTCGCTCTCTCACGCTCTCTCTCTCTCTCCCTCTCCATCTAACTCTCCCAATCCAAATTCCGTTTTGCTCCTCTACCCACCCCTCACCCTCCAGCTTGACGAATCGAATTATGATGCTCTATGTGTGGTGCTCTACCCTCGTGATGGATGCCCCCGGCGCTAAAGAGTGGCCATAATTGGGCCCTAAGGGATACGGTAAGTGAGGGTCTCCATCGGTTAGCCCCGCCCACACACCCATCATCATCTGCCCGCCTCAAACAGCTACATCCTCAACACATTTTAGTTTTGGCTTTTCGAATGAGGGCCCAATATGGATTCTGGATTTCGCTTTACTTTAAATACTGATATTTTCTGGTTTTAATCGATTTTTCGGTCTAAAATTGGGTTTTTAACTTTTAGCATGATGTCCAACGCGCATCCGCATCCACCGCCAAAATTTTCGATTGAAGATTTACTAAAGTAAGTGTTAAATTTAGCAATGTACTGCTTACCAACTTTCTTTTAAATACATATTTTTGTTTTAGTAGCCAAAACGACGCGCTAAAATCGGCGCTGCAAGAGCAGTTTCGACTCTGTTTAAATCCGATTAAGACTGATGAAGCTTCCGGATCGGTAAGTTTTTAGGCGATTCTTATAAAGGCTCTATATAATGTCTATTAATGCTCCATCAACCCCATTAATTTCAGGACAATTCTACCGTATCCCCGGGCTCACCAAAAGCCTCCCCATCCCCAATAATGTCCACCACTCTGGCGACTCCGCAACTTTGCGGCCCGTCTGCTTTATGTAAGTCTATTTAATTTATTTTGTATTTATTAAGCTAAATCAATAGGTTAAGGATGCTAATATTGAATTAGTATGCATGGTTGTATTTTAACCCCATAATTTCAGTACCTCCGCCCGGCCAAGAACTCCCATTCTGGCTAATGTCCATCGATCAGTCAGCTCTGTTAATGGCGCAAAGGAGTGGTGAGTCTTAATTTTAAATGCATTTTAAACCTTTATTCGACGTAAATACGTTTTAATATAAGTTCAATTTTTATAGTATTCCCTCACCTTTGGGCAAATGCCGATGCGTTACGACTGGCTGCCGCTAGTAAATCGTACAGGAGACGAAAGGTAGCTTAAAACTCGTTGAAACCCTTTTTGTATTAACCCGCACTTTTTAAGACAACAGTAAAAAATGGGGAATTAGCATAATTAGCATAATTTCCAGGCACGAACCGTCTTTTCCGACGCCCAGCTCCAAGGCCTCGAGCGCCGTTTCGCCACTCAACGCTATTTAAGCACACCGGAGCGGATAGACCTCGCCAATAATCTAAATTTGTCTGAAACTCAGGTTGGTTTAACAATCGCAAAAATATAGTTGTTTTTTAAAAACGTTAAAATTTTATCTAGTTACTAAATTCCAGGTGAAAACGTGGTTCCAAAACCGACGAATGAAGCACAAGAAGGTAGTTCGTGGCAAAGATGGGGAACTACGCGAAATCACCGAAGAAGATGAGGTCTCAGAATAGTCATTTTAATATCATTATAACATTTTATCAAATTCCCCCTTTAATCTGCACATATCTTCTCCAATTCTTTGTCTTTCTTCTCGTTTCTTTTATTTTTATTTCGATTTTGATTTTGCCATCTTCTTCTCACTCTGTCATCGATTGATTTAGATATTTATTACGCAAATAAAGCATGGCGAAATTGAGAATTTAATTTATTACTTTATACTTGGTCCTCCCGAATGCATTTGTTGTCATCCCCTTCGATAATAACAAAACGGTAGATCATCAGGAATAGTATGAAAGTCACCGGATACATAACCTAAAAAGTAGTTGTTTTAGGGAATTTTGGAATTTTAAAAAGTTAGAAAATTTTGCTCTGAAACCATGTTTTGCGACCAATAAAATTTCCATCGATCCCAGACCCCGGGGATGGCTTGCCAAAGGCTCCTAGACGCCTGGGCTCCCCTCTTTCCTCGTCGGGGGTGTAGCTCAGTGGTAGAGTGCTCGCTTCGCATGCGAGAAGTCCAGGGTTCAAACCCCTGCTCCTCCAAATCCATTTTTGCTTTTTGGCTTATAGCGACATTTTCGTCTTGTTTCGGCCGTTTCAGCGCAAATTCCTTTTTGCTAAGCTTTTGAATCATTTTCGATTTAATGTTCCGCAATTCCTTGGTTTCACGTACCTTGCAAAACGTATCAAAATCGCGAGCAATTTTATGGAAACGCCGGCTTTTCACAAGCATCTTCGCCAGCATGTACTTTCCAAAAGCTTCTTCATTGGCGAGGGCTTTCTTTTTCTAAAAAATATTCTTGAAAGTCCGGTAATAAAAACGAACAATCTTTTTGCTCTCATTTTCGAGTGAAATGATGATCAATGCTTGGATCATAGTGGCAAAGACGAAGGTTGAGGTGAAGCCGAACCAGAGATCGATTGCCTGAGTTAAAATTAATATGAATTAGGGTTTTAGTACCTTTACGTAGGAGACTTTGGGCAGTGCTTCTTTTGCTGCGTTATTTTCCGCACTGAGGGTTAGGAATACGGTCAACGATACCAGAATTCTTCCTAAATTTATGATTAATGTAAGCAATATAGAGTCTACAAAGCTATTTAGAATAGTTTTAAACCATAATAGTTATTATAAAAGTTATACCTTCCACAAATTCCTCGGGCAACCAGGCGCCCACCCAACTAAAAACGACACAAATCGACGTTGGTACGTAAGTCTGGGCGACGTGATAGCTTAATTCATATTTAATTTTAAATAGCTTCAAAAATAATTTACCCAGTATCTCTCTTCATCAAAAAACTTGCTTCAACACAAGTATAATTGCCTTAAAAATATGCTAATCAAGAACTTAAAAAATTACCGGATTTCCGCCGGCCGTCGCAATTATTCGCGTTATGTTCGAGGAGGAAAAGTTCCGGTAGTTGCAAGTCTGTCTGAATAAAAAAAATTGGACTTTCTGTTTCTAACAATACCTTCATCCGAATGGCATCATCAAGTCTTGAAAACCACTCAAATTGCACTAGGTCTTGTGTGAAACCGACTAAAAATTCGCTGAGAATGCTTATTAAATAGAAAATTACTTGAGCTGATCTTCACGCCACATCGTTGCTCATCATGCGGATATTTGCAAAAAACGAGCTGACAACTGTTCTAAAAACTGTAACATTAAACGGATTCTCTAAATAATATTAGATAATATTATCTGTTATTAATGATTCGTTTAGAGACACACGGACACCAAGAATTCATCCATACCATAACAACCCACCTTCAACATGGCACGCAATTCCATAAAAACCTCTCCATTCGGAAATATAAACATGTAAAAATTTAGAAAAGTAACGCGATGGAATTTGGCGTCTTTTGCGTTTTTTATAAACGGATCAGGCCGCCAGATGCGCCTGAAAAAGATAATCCCAGATTGTTTCGTTATGTACCGTAACGACGTAAATTCGTTGATCAAAATAGGTTTTGAGAGACCATGGCTTAGCCGGATGTCCCGCCACGCCATTCGGAGCCAAACGTCCATATCGTAGTCCTAACAACAATTTTGAATTTTTAGAGGTTGGACTTACCATTGTGGTTAATTCAAAATTGGATACGGATTGGACGAAGAGTCCGACTTTTACTTTAACGATATGGCCAGGTAGCATTGAGGGTGGGGTCCTGTAAAAGTTTAAATAACTTTTAAGATCGACATAAGTTAAAATAACAATATCTTTTAGAAGCCATCCGAGCAAAAGCTCCAAAAATATCTTACAAGTATAAAATACCTTTTAAGGGAAATTCAAGCCAATTAATCAGCAGACTAGAAATTTTAAAACCAACCTCTGATCATATTTCACCCTTTTCAACCACGGAATAATTTGGGTAGATGGAAATGGCCGCTCGTCACTGATATTAGCGAATTGACCCTAAATTTAAGGATTTCAGTCAGATCAGTAAAATTAAATGAGAACGAAAAATTAAAAAGCGTGCCGCCTAGCTTACCATAATATGATCCAACCCGCCCTCTTCGTCCCTCATAAATTCGCGCACTTGTGACGCATTCCACCCCAGCCCACTCACGTCAAATGCGAGGCTGTTGAAAAATTCTAAAAAAATAAATTCATTTTTTTATGGCGTTGTTACCTTCATTTTCGTCGGGCGGCATATACAGTTGGGCATCCTCTCCGCAAAGCCCCGCTATCAAAAATCCCAGACTTTGGTGCATTTCCAGCAAGCGGCGATTTAAATTAACACTAAAATAGATGAGTTTTACAAACCTTTAAAATACAGACCTTTTAGGGAAAAGCTCAAAATCGGCCGTTGAATTTAGCAGTAAGGACTGCATTGTCACATTTTGCTCATTATCGAGATCAAATCTCGTTTCTTTGACCATCATTTTTGCCAGAGCTTCTTGTAGGTTTGTTCTAAAATAATAAGCGTAATAAACGCTTATTTTTAAGCTAAAGCTTAAACTTAAGGCAGCCAAAGCACATTCCAAAGTCTAAATTCATCAGCAAAAAAATACTGACCCATTCTTGGCCTCATTTTCGGAAGTTATTGTAGTATTGGCTGCATTTGTAAGTGTCGCACAAAAATCATCGACATTTATACCGAACCTGAAATTGTTTAACTCTTCAAAAACATCTTAGCGATACCTCGCAGACTCCTGTGTATTATTAAACCAATGGATTCTAGCGTAAAAACGGCAGATCGAGTCCCAATTCAAGTGGACGGCCTACAACAAAATTACATATCATTGTTAATAGTACTACCGCGTATTGTTCAAGCAGTTTTCCGGGGACCTGATATCGATTCGCGTCTCTCCAAGTGTAAATGGAGATCGATCTTCGGCGTTGGGCGAGGAGTTCGATGTCTTGGGTTGAGAGATCATGATTGCGGTTCTGGAATTCGGGAACTTAAGGATTCGTACTTTAATTCAATTTAACGGTACGAAAAAGTTATACTTATGGATTTTCTATGGGTTTTCGTTATTCCGCGCGACATGCAACTCCGCCCGACGCCTTTCCCTATCGTAATTTGGCGGCCCTGCTACGCTTCATAGCTTCAAATAAATACGTGCGCGTTGCGTGTCGCTGCGTATTAATATGAATCCACAAACATGGCTTGTCGATATTTTTAAAGGATTATAGGGATACTGTCCGTAAGGTTTATGATCCGTAGTCTCAATCCAAACCTACAAACCTGCGTTTTCCAATAAACATGCCATGCTTGACATTGACTATGCTGTCTAGCATCAATCCCAGCATCTTCTGCCTGCCATGCCGTTGAGATTGTTAATTCAAACACTACAAAAATTCACTAACACTGAAGCTTTATCCTACCTGGTTCTGAAGCTCTAGTGAATCGAATCAAGCTCAACAATAAGAGCTGAAGAATGACTATGCCCCACCACCACATAACCCACAAGAGCAGCAGCAGCTACACATGGGATGCATTGAAAAAGGCGAGGAAAGGGGAGAAGGGGGCTGCAAATCGAATGTTGAACGAGCTGGGTGACCGTGAAGGGAAATTAGCCTCTTTCTGCCATTTCTCCTCGACCATTTCTGTGGTATCTCCTCTTTCCGCTAGAAACTGTTCAACCGTTTTCCTGACACTCGAATTGATGGGTTGATTGACGGATTGCGCGAATTTTTGGAAGGTGATTGAATAGGTCGAATTTTTAGGCTTTACTGGAATTTTTAATTTTAAAGCCCGTCTCGACATTGCAAAGCTTTTAATAAAAATAGCCTTAAAAGTTAGTTTACATGGGTTTTTAAGTTTTGAATGAAATCTGATGAAGGCCAGCTAAGAATATTTATAAGAGTGTCGAACTTTTGATAAATTTATTTTTGAGTTTTAAAAATAGGCAGGTAAGCTGCGCATTTCTAATAATGTCTTATTTCAATAAATATCTTTTTATAAAGTTTCGAGAAAAATTATTCGACCCCAATCATGTTTTTTTTTTAGCAAGCTACGATAATTTTAGAAAATTCGATAATAAATTGGTATACCCATTTTTGCTAAAAACCCAGTGACAGCTAAAATCTTTACAGAATTCTCTGTCTATTTTTTAAGTTTTTTCTCCTTCATTTTCCTTATTTTCAGCCCATATCCGCGTATTTTCATGTGCCCTGCAAGTTAGGAAATTCCACAGACGATTAAAATCCTTTATTCCAGAAGGGGAAGGCGCGAATGTTATTGTAAACAGCAAAGATACGGTCCCTGGCTGCACTTTCCATTCCCCTTCTTTCCTATTTACGGGGGGGGGGGGCACACTGTCAATAGGAGACTGGGTCTCAACGCGGAATCCAAACGTGGAGGGCCCTGTTTTCCTTGATTTGTTTGGCAAGAATGATCAGCACCGGGTTTTCCGGAAATCAGGGCCAAATTTTGAAGGGGTTCTTTGAGTGGTGGATTGTTTTAAAGGGATTGGGAAGTGGTGGAAGAGGTTTCCTTGAATTCTCCTTTAATTGACAAGTCTACACGTATAAATAATATTATAGCGGGTGTGGTAAAGCAATGGATTTTGAGGTGAGAGGTGGTTTTTCGGCCGAAATTTGATTTTTGTCGATTTTTGGGCTAAAAATTCAAATTTTTAGAGCTTTTAGCCGATTAACCGCCTCCCTTTAGCACATATCAAATTAAGTGAAACAAGAATTGAGGCGGGTAAATGTCGTTTGATGAGGGGGGAGATCTCGGACCCGTTGTTGATCTACTTGGCAAGGAAATAGACGGCCAGCGAGAGGAGGGCGGTGATCATGGAGAACGAGGCGGTGGTGGCTCCGTTGCAAAGGTTGCCGGAGCAGCAGTTCACCTCGAGGACAGGGTTGGTGCCGTAGGTCGATTTGCCCTCCTTCTGAAAAAATTAGTGTAAGATATGCTTTTAAAGTGGAGCATGAGCTGACTTTCCAGTCCCTCCAAAAAATACTGTAATTAAATGCGATGCTCCTATCGCTGTCTACGCTCTCTAGCTCTCTAGCTCTCTCGCTCTATTACTCTCCCGCTTTCCTGCTCACTTTCTTTATCTCTCTCTCTCTCTCTCTCTCTCTCTCTCTCTCTCTCTCTCTCTCTCTCTCTCTCTCTCTCTCTCTCGTTCTCTCTCTCGCTCTCTCTCTCGCTCTCTCTTACTCTCCCTTCTCTCTCTCTCTCTCTCTCTCTCTCTCTCTCTCTCGAAATGTGTTTACGAAATAGTGCCCCCCTATTTTGCATGCCAGACCGCACACGATGCCCGCTAGTAGGCCAGAAAACAGCCGCCCCATTTCAAGCCCCCTTTCCCATAGAGCCAGCTGGAAAAACAACGCGGGAGCCCTTGACTCACAACAACCCTCAAAATAAGCCCTCCCGGCTTGGGACTAGAGCCTTGTTTTCCACATTTGCATCCGGGGTTTCAAGAGAATTTGTACTTTAAAGGTTCTAAAAGGGCTAGAAACTCATGGATCCAAATTTATAGGTTAGTTTTGAAGATCTAAACAACTGCCCTTTTAAATTTTCAATGAGAGTTATTTAAATCAATTCATCTAGATCTCCTCAGTCAATGTTTTCAAAAGTGGCATGTCAGAAATCTAGGGTTATTTTATCGATGGGGCTTTACAACCCAATATGCAAAGTTCTTCTGGGGAAAATCCTTTTTTAACTTTTATAAAAAACTGAGCCTCCAAGTCCCTTTAAATCGAATATTCTAATTTACCTGGCACATGTTGACCTGACGGGTGGCAATGTTGGAGCAAGCACAATCCCAGGTAGCCGCCCTGACGCTAGCGGCCTGGCCGTAGTACTTGATACAGTAATCCCCGCAGTCACAGTTGATTTCGCGCTCCTGAAAAGTGACAATATGATATTAATTCATAATGATGTAGATATAGTTGTCATTTTCGCTCAAGAAAAACGTACACTTCCGGAGTGATGCTCGTCGGCAGCGGTGTCTTTGTAGCATTTTAGGGCGACGGCCACGGAGAGGAGAGAGATGAGGGCGATGAGGGTGCGCATCTTGGATAGTTGAAGCTAGAAATAATAGAAGAGAATAATGAATTAATATATAGCTTTAAAAGAGAGAGGATACAAACTTTATTTATCAGAGGTATCTTCGTGTCAGAAAAAAACGACATAACGCATTTAAAATTGACAGGGATATTCTAAAGGCCTCAAAATTCCATGATTAAAAATTCTAGAAGTAGGTGATAGCCATAAAAATGCAAATGGTTATATCTAATTTAATTTTTTAGATATATGCTAATTTAAACGCTTAGAAGATTGGAAAAGCAAAGTGTAAAGCTAGACAGCTCTAAAAATCGCCCCCTAAAAAATTCAGCTCTCAAAAACAAAAGCCTACAAGGAGAAGCTGTTGTGCAAAATGTGGCCCATTACACGGGCCCTTATATGCTGGACGGTAGGTTGTTTTTCCCGGTGCCCACCCCGCTTCGCCACGCCCCCTTTCCCAAACGGCACAAACAAAAAAACAGCTGCACTTTAGCGGGGGGCAGGGGCGCTTCCAGACCCCACTTTCGCTTCTCTCTCTCTCCCTCTCTCACTTCTCTCTCTCTCGCCCCGTCCACTCCAGCCCTGTTTATCTGAATTTCTGAATAATATTGCCCAACGAAAGAGCAATTTGAATGAATCACCATGTGGAAGAGCAAAATGTCAACAGCACCTATTTGTGGTGTGAGAGGGTGTTCGAAAGGGCAGTGTGAATCGGAATTAATTCTGACATGTTGAAATCAAGTGCACTAAAGGAGTGATGACAGATGAAGCTGGTTCCCGAGATCTCTAAAGGTTGGTGACAGTTGGTAAGCCATAACTATTTGCTGAATTCTTCCTTTCCGCCCCTTTAAAATGATCTTACGCGTTAATATCCTATCCTATAAGCGAGAAAAGTATGTTTGTTTTCTGTAATGACGATTTCTCGGCCGTCAGGCCGAATTTCGCGCTGATTTTTGGCATGGAGGCGGGAGAAATGCATTTGCCAGACACGCATTTTTTTGTTTTTCGAAATTCCTCCATTTAACGATTTTACAAGCAAAATAGTAAAAATCCTTAACAAAATGGGCGATGAGCCGTGGTGTCCGGGGCATAACTCTAAACCCTGATGGAATTTCGGGCTGGGATTTGGACAACCTATGTATTTGATAGTGGGGATTACGCGCATCTTATTACCTCTACAAATTTTCAGCAGTTTAAGATTCAAAAATTGAATTTTGTAAAGTGACCAGAAGGCCTCCCTCCCGGGATCATTGGGTCGCCCTTTCCTTTGCCCCGTCCCCCTCCCCAGGGCAAAACAGGCCTTTCCCACCGATCGTTCCCATCCGCCCCGTGGTGTAGTGGATTTGCGCCCGGCCTACCACCCGTATGGTCGTGGGTTCCAATCCTGTGCGAGTTGTCCTTTTTGCTTTTTGATAGTTTAGCAACAAAACATATTTCTAGGCTCTCGGTGTGCGAGGTTTAGGCGTGGCTCTCGCTCTAGCGCCGCAGGCGGAAGGAAATGTCCTTTCCCAGGCTCTCGCGCCGCAGGCCAATGATGGGTCCTTGATCTAGGCTCTTCCGCCGGCAGGCCTAATCCGGCTGAAAAACCAGTAACTAGCGCCGCAGGCAAAAGGGTTCTAGCGCGAGGTTTAGGCCGGGCTCTCGCTTTAGCGCCGCAGGCCAAAGAAAAGATCCTTGGTCCAGGCTCTCGCGCCGCAGGCCAAAGAATGACGCCATGACCCAGGTTCTTGCGCCGCAGGCTAAAAAAGAAGGTTTTCAGATCCATGGTTCCTGGACGGGTCCAGTGGAAAAGGGCCGCGAAGCGGTCTTTTTCCACTGGTGGGTATATAATGGAAATCTAATTAGAAAGCGTTAAAGTTCGGGGTTTAAGGTGATCACAACGCTAAAGAAAACTAATTATCGTTGCAAAAGTAAATTTTGACCTCGTCGGCCTCTAAGTTATGAATTTTAAAATAATAAAGGGATGGTGACACTAACTGTTTGCGAATTATATCTTTTATTACTTCATTAAACCTTTAATTTTTGAAGTCCCACCTTTGATGCATTTTGCTGCTAATTAACATTCAACATACAACAGCTTTATCCAAAATTTAAACTTAGAAAAAATTCGATAACAAGACGAAAAAGGTGGAGAAGAAAAAGAAGTTTGTTCCGGCTGCCTTGTCGTCTTTATCGTGCTTGATATCCCCATTGCACAAATCCCCGCTGCAGCAGTCGACCTCAAATTCGGGGTCCTTGCCCATTTTGTTGACGCCGGATTCCTAAATAGTTAATAAAATTTGGATTTTAGGGTTTAAAAATTAATTTAGGTACTTACCGTGCATAGATTGACTTGGCCAATCTGTTGGTTCACACATCCACAGCTCCAGAAGTCTGTTTCAACACCATCGGTCTAAAAGAAAATTAAAGTTTTCGAAACCAAAAGTTTTATTTCCTGTTCAACTCTGTCTCTTAATCTTTTAAATTTCTCGAACGATTTCAGCGTATAAACCCCCATTTCTGAATGCAATGTCATGCTTGGCAGATTTCGATATACGAATTTTCGAGGTAATCAACTTTCGGCATAATAATTTTTAGTTCTCCTTCCTTTTTAGCTCTTTTTGATATCCACCTGACGCCCCAACGATGCCGTTCATAGTACCGAAACGTGCAAAAAATAGCTCCCCTTTTGCCCACGATTGGATAAACAAATAGTGAGCGGCACGCTGGGAATCGTGGCGACAAACAACTCTAGTAGAGACCCGCGGAAACAAATTGCCCCCTGCCCCAGCCTGTGGAAATGTGAGGGGATTGCGAAAAACAAAAAAAAACAGACCTCGATCAGGTACATGGCGCAAAATTTTCCGCATTCGCAGGTGACGTTGTTTTTCTGGAAATTGTGAATAAAATGCACCAAAATATATTTATTATGCTAGTTTTTCATAGTTCAAAGCTGGTGCTCCTTTCCAAATTTTGTTGATAAAATTAAATCAGTTTGTATAAAGTTACGGTGTGAAATTTCTTCTAAAAATTCAGCTACCGGCTTTTTTCAAGGTAAAATCAAAAATTAAAATAGCGTTTCCTACTTCCTAAATTTCAGCCTATAATAGATCCCCATTACTTTTGCAATTACTTAAAAACCTACAGTTTCCTGCTTCTTCCCATCAACAATAGCACTCCCACCCTCATAACATTGCAACCCAAAAGTGGCCACAAAGAAGAAGCTGAAGAAAAAGTAGAAAAATTGCATCACGACGGACATCTTCACAACTAGAAGACGAGCAACTTTCAAAATGATGCCAGGGCGGTGTTGTACCGCTAGGCCCTCGTTTTATGCCTTTTTGCATGAATACATCTCGAATCCAACTGAATGCAAATGTTTGCCGGTGACCCGGGCCGTTGGTAGTGCTGATCATTTATGTTCCACGTCTTTTTGAGTCATGCGATAAGCTTAAAATCGTGGTATTCTGGTAGATAACCTACAAAAAGTTGTGCTCAGGCTGGTCTGACCTGGGATTGCGAAATTTTGAGGTAGGACGGGAGGTGTTCTGTCATTCTGAAAATTCAAGACGCGGACAATCATCAGATCGTAATCTCCCGAAAATTATCATCGAAGTCCATTAGATCAAAAGTTGCCGAAAGTTAATACGCTTAGTTTTCATGATACCAAAGGTCTCGAGGTTATTTATAAATTCTGAATTTGCATAGCTAAATTGTTAAGTTTCGGTCTAATCTTATTTCAAAGTAAAGTTTTTTTTGCTTATTGAACCTTTTACATACCATTTTTTTGCGTAATGGCTTCTTGCGTAAATTTCTGTGTACTTAAATTTAAATTTGGGTGGGTGTGCATGCCTATATTTAGATGCCTTTAAATCGAAATTAATACTGTACAAAATTTATTTACACGAAAATGCACATTGAGCAAGCACCATCTGAGTAGATAGAAGTCTTTGAAAGGGAATGGAATGTCGTGGGGTTGGGTTCAAATCGATTTTGAAGGCATTTTAAAGGGGTTGTGACATCTAGTGGAAATAGAGGACCAGGGAGACGATGGAGGCGGAGAGGAGGGAGAAGCCCATCGATGTGGCGCTGTTGCAGAGATCGCCCTCGCAGCAAGTCACCTCGAGCTGAGGATCGGATCCGAAGACGCCCTTGCCCTTCTCCTAAAAAATTGGTTTTAAAAGGGCTTTCAAGTCAAAATTTCAATACGTATATTTTTTGGGTTAGTGATGTTAGTACTCACATAAATTACCTTGCACATATCCTGCTGGAATCCGCCCTGTCGTGTGCAACCGCAATCCCAGCTGGCAGCGCGCTTTCCGTCGGTCTGAAAAAGTACAGTAACCCATGGATATGGTAGCTCTACAGCAACCTGGTATTTTATGATTTTTTAAAATTACCTGAACACGCTCGTGGGCCCTAACAATCTTGCCATCGTCGTGATCGGTGACCTGTCGGTTTAGGTGCTGATCCTTAGCGGGGATCTGGAAATGGTTACGGTAAGTTTTAAAAAAAAGAGCAGGCTATTAAATAGCTATTTTACGCAATTTAAGCGGTAATTAATAGAAATCTTACCTCAGCAAAATATTTCACGCAATAGTTTCCGCACTCGCAGGCCACTTCCATTTCCTGGAAAATATAGATAAAATTTGTTTTATTTGAAAGGTAGCTGTGTTCATCTATATTTAATTTATATAAAACTTACATCTCCCCCTGGGTCCCTCGCTTTGGGCGGATCCCTTATAGCATTTCAAAGCGGATGCGACGGCGACGAAAGCCAAAAGCACAACGACGGATTGCCTCATATTCTGAAAAAATTGGGGTTTTTGGGGCGTACTGAATTCTCGAGATACGGTAGGAAATTCAAAAGAATACGGTGGATTAAAAAACCTCTACATTGGAGTTTGGTGAAAATTGGAATGGAATATAACGAAATTCGGGTAGAAATAGGATAGCAGAAAAATTACAACAAAATTTAAGACAATTAGCAAATGTCCAAATTTGAGAAAAAGAGTAGATGAAAGTTGGAAAGGTAGTAATATCAGGAATTCCGCACAACAACAAGATACCGTATCCCCCAAAAGTGTAGACCGAAGTACCGGGAGTAACTGAACTCCTCCCTGGTAGACACCCCCGTAATATAGAGGCCATGTTTTGACCATTTTCTCTTTTCCTCCTTTCTTCCAGTCCCACCCTGTAAAATAAGGCTCAGGCCTTCCTTCCTATCTCTTTCTCACTCTCTTTCTCCCCTCTCTCTCCCCCAACCTGAGAAAAGGGGGGCAGTATTGTTTTGACTGTGAAACAGGTTCGCGCGCCACCTGTTTACGTCGGCATCTGTACTTTCCACGGATCGACCATTTCCAAGCAAACAACCAGTGAATAGCTGCCGTCCCGCCAAATATGCACTATTCTTTAGGGGAGGCGCGCCTCACACGATGCATCCCTGAAAACGACGGGGATTTCATCCTTTTCCCCCTAGCCCACACACGATGATGCGAGTCTCACAGGAAAAATGTGAACAACTTGTTTGTTGTCTGGATTTTTTGGTGGTGTCTACGGAACTAAACGTACTAACAAAAAAAATAAAAAGAAATGTATCGTTCTGTTCATTCAGCGTTCTTCTTGATTTCATTCCCACATGATCTCTGTTGCTTGTAATTCCTAAGTTTTTTTGGTTGTCTATTGATTAAGCGTACTGAAAACCCACTAATTTTAGCATGAATGCTTAGATTCAGGGCGTCAATCGAAATAAATGTACAGGAAAAACACGAAATATAGCACAAAAAAACGCTTGATTGTCGTATTCTCATTCCTAAAAAACCTGTACGTGAAAATTTCTGAATTTTCAGTGTCTATAGAATTAAACGTACTAAGGAAAACCCGGGACTTATCGTACAGCACCAGCTTTTTCTGTATTTCTTTATCGATTTTTTGGGGAATTTCCAGCGAAATAAATGTCGTGCAAAACAACAATATCGAACGGCGCTTGATTCTTCTCCCTTCCGTTCCAAAATAATTTTGTTATCTGAAACCCTTAACCCCAACATTCAAAAATATTTATTATCTCGGAGATCAAAGTATCAATTGAGCGTCAATTTGGCGAGCGGCAGTTCATCCTCATGGCTCAACGATGATGCAGATGATTGAGGCGATTGCCCAGTCGATCCAGCCGACCCTCGCCCATCTTCTGCCACCGGGCTTTTCCATAGCAGGCGTCTTCTTGTCTGTTGAACGTCTTCCCTTGGCCCGCGGCTGCTTCGGATGACGCTCGTTTTGGAGACTGATTTTCGGATTGGTCGTGCTCCTGATGAATCCAGGGTCGAATCATCAGTTGGGGAGCATGGTTCAGGGATTGCTGAGGTGCTGGCCGAGGTGTGTAGGCCCCTATAAATTCATGAGGATATTATTAGACGCTGAGGAGGCGAAAACGTAAAAAAATCTTGGTCTTGGACAAGATTGATATATTAGACCTCTTATTTTCGGTATTTCGATTTTTTAGGCACAATATGGTAGTTTTTAGTTATTTAACCTACCTCAATAAATGCCGATCTTTACTATCCATCGATTCCAACATCTCATCGTACAATTCTTTCCAAACAACATCAGCCACCGGCACCCCGGGCATCGGCTCGATTATTTGCACCGTGTTACGCCCGTAAAACTGTAAGACTTTTGATTTTTCTTTGTTTTCCACCCTCGCTATTCAGCAGCAAAGCTGAATTCTAGGGTTGGGGCCCCGCTTTTGGCCGGACCGTTATTCTGAAAATAGGCCCTTCATATTTCAGCATGTCCCGACGGGCGGGCCTCACATCTATCAAAAGGCACGTCAACGCCCAAGGCGGGGGAGGGCCCGCTTTTGCTCTCTTGCTTTTTCTCCCTCTTGCATTTATTCATGCTTTTCGTGGAAAGCTTGCAAAGATTTTGGAGTGGTTTTGGTACTGAACTGTTAGCGGGGGGGTTGGCAGGAGATAAACTAATTTTTCCCCGTTTTATAATACAGTTCTTAGAAATAAAAAGTTAATCAAAAAAACTTACAATGTTCGAAACTTTTTGACTTTTGGTCAAAAGTGTATGAAAAATTAACCAAAAAAGTTAGAATCCTAAACTAGTTCTAAATATTTTTGTAGCCCTCTAGCAACCAAAAACTACTAAAAACGTTATAAAAAACACATCATTTATTATTGACAGGTTCTTAGTAGAGTATTCACGGAAAAAAAAATTTTGCTTCCTTCCAAAACCCCCCACGCTAACAGTCGAGTACAGTGGATTTGGCTTCAGAAAGCGTTTGCCAATCTTGACCCACCTTCAATTCCAATTCTATCATTTGTTTGAAGAAACCGATATTAGGGCAAATGATGTTGCGATGCCGTTGCACTTCTTTGTACGCATCATGCAGATTTAACCTTCAATTTTTGCAATTTAAAGTTGTTTTTAAATGACTTACTTCTCAATACACATTAAATAAGCGATCGCAAACGTGGCGGATCTTGAAATACCCATCGCACACAGCAACAATACACGGCCCTTCGCCTTTCGCTCTTCATCAATTATCTACAAGGATTTTCATATTTTTTAGTTATTTTTAAAAACCTGAAAAACGGTCGCCCAATAAGCCGACAAATCCTGTGAATCATCGTCGTCGAGCGGGATATGAACAACCCGCATCTATAGATTTTTTTAGATTAAATCCTAAATTTTCCGCTTACCTGAGCCGGGGCCGATATTCTAAAACCGGCTATCAGATTTATGGTTGTTGAATATTTTGCTGAAATTGTAGAAAGTTATTTGACACCAGTAAGACAACCAACCAAGCATTTGTGGGCTCAAACTTGCGATCCCTCCAACATGCAGGAAGGGGCGGATTGGGGAAGCTTTCCGGGAATCGCTTGAGATTACCGCTCGGGTCGTCATCTGAAAAAAAATATATAAAATATTCAAGAGCTAATAAACACGAAAAATATCAAAATAACACGAAGAAAACCTAGAAGGGACAGGAGGCGTCTCTAGGAATCATTGAAACAGGAAAACGGAAAAATGTTGATTTTTTTCCATTTTTTCTGTAAAAACAACCTAAAAAATAATCGTGAGAGCTAAGCTTTTTTTTACAAGATCAATAAATACGTTTCGGCGGAATGGCGGGTTCAAAGCCGGAAGCCGACGCAAGCCTCTGCAAAATTCAAAAACAGTCGAAAGAAAATCACTGAAAATGGCTAAAAAGTTGAAAATTTTGGTGTAACTAAAAATTTACATACGCTATGTGGCTGTAAGTCAGGATTATCGCTATTTGGGATATGTAAGAATTTTGGACCGCATGTGAAGCATGCGCCAAATACCCAAAAACAGTATAAAAAAATCTCATTTTAATCCATACGAAAGTAATATGAAAATAAGACAATGGAGCCTAGAGGAGAATAGCGAAGCTTGGAATCACGGAAGCACAGATTCCCCAAAAAAGTATTGAGCCTGGATGAATGGAGCGAGCCTACTTGTTCCGGGACACCCTCGCTTCAGTCTGGACCCCACCGCCAAATCGACGCGAGAATGGCTTCCGGTGTAAGCGAGTCCCGCTCCTCGGCGCGAAAGGTTCCCTCCAACTCAAATACTACGGACACCCTATCCCCACGGGAATATTTATGATTATTGAGTTGCTGCCGCTGCTTTCATTTCTGTTGCGTCATTCCGGGGCGCTACGGTGCTATTCGTGCTCATTTTCGTTTAACGAACCGTACGATACGGAACATAAGGATGCTTGGTGTGCGAATGAGGTTTGTTCTAGACATTGAGGGGTTCGAGGGAGGAGGGTTTCATTTCCTTAAAGGTTCATTTCATTTCCGGTTTTTAGAGCTCCGGAGTTCCTAAACTGACCCTAGAAAGTGCTGAAAATTGAGCGTCGGGCTCATTGTTAGAGAGACAAAGCAAATAAGCTTTCAGAGTCTGGTAATCTACGACGCGGACCAAACCTCAAAAATCTGCGCCAGCTGGGAGCCATATTGCGTGGTGAGACAAATGACTTTAAAAAACGGAGTCTACGTCAGGGTGGAGATGTTACGCATATAGAGACACCCAGTATCGTCGAGAAAATTAAAATAAAAAGCTTACAAGCCTTTTTTTTAATAAACTTTGTATGCTAATTAACGGGCTAATTCAATATCGCGCCTATACCTAACACTCTACTTCAGACCTCAATCACCACCGTCCAAGACGCATTCACCGAAGTGACACGCGGTTGCGGGGAGAAATGCTCGGAATATTGTGAGAGCGAGGGATTCGGCTTTGACCAGGTTGGTTCAAGCTCAAAAGACCGAACAGGGGATCTAGGGGGAACGACAGGGGAGAGGAGCATCAATCTTTGGCTCCGAGGGAGCGGCATAACCTAAAGGAGAGGTCCCCCTAAAGACTAGCTGACTCGTTCCGGGGGCCCGGGTGGCTTGGGCCAGCTGGGAGCCGCTAAATTCGATTTGTCTGGCGATGAAACCAGAAAAGGGGGAAAAGGGGTGGACTGGTAGAAATCAGGGTTTAAAACAACTAAAATCAAAATTTAAGTTTATCGATTCTCATTAAACTGCTAATAAACTAGGAAAATGAACAGAAGATGGTACTGTGCTGCTAAGGGAAACTAATTTTTGTTTTCCGCCTATGGCTATCTGTTAATAATAAATAAAGTATGTCTAGAAGTCTTTTTAAGACTCGTGAATTGCTAGAAGGGTGCAAAAAATATTTTAATCTTTTTGAGAATTCGAAAATTTTGAGCCTTTTGGCCATTTTTCATTCATTTTGCACAAAATGTCAAGAATTTCAGAAGTTTTTATGAGCCTTTCATATCTAAAAACTGAAGCTATAAAAATTGTCTATATTTTGTGATAGTACCGTACAGGATTACTGGAAAAAAAATTAGTTTCGCCCCCGCTAACAGCCCAGCACCCATAAAGTCGAAAAACACCAAAAATAGACATACATTTTCAAGCTCAACCTCTGAGCCAAATAGGTGGTGACGGGGCGATGATGGAGGTGTGATTTGAGGGGTGGTCTAAAGACCCAGTGAAAGGAGCGATAGCAGCCCTCGGGGGAATATCGCATTGAAGCCAGGCCCGGCCAGCCTCCTTCCTTCCTTCCCTTTGCCTAGCAACAAAAAGAGGGGGAGATCCACACAACAGAACCCGCCATCCGAAAAGGGTTGCCACACACATGGGTGGCAATTGCAGTAATGAACTAATAGATGAATGTGGGGGAATCACTTTTGATATTAAAGGGGCAGGTAATGAATGGCTATGGATTTCGTCGCATCCCGGGACGCAACGCGCATGCCCAGACCTCTATTGAGTAGGTGATTACGGCCTTTTTACGACAACAAAAGCGGACGCGTTGCGTATCGCGGGCGCGAAGAATCCATAGTCCTCTCTATTAATTACCATTTAAAACACACAACGCTAAAAATTGGTCATACGTGACATAAGACCTCCAGAAAGATACATACGGCATTTTCTCTAAAATAAGCCCCCGCTTCTCATAAAATCTGACAAAATCGACTTCAAAATTACAAAAAGATGACCTGGTATTATTGAGGGTTTTAGGCAGCCGAAAATCTTCAAAATTGCCAAAATCGACCAATGTTACATCCTGTTTTTGGCACTCTCCTCGATCAAAACCATCTAAAAATATACCCCCTCCCTCAATTTAAGCAAGCCTCTAATAAAATCATAAACCTATAAAAATAAAAAAATAGGATAAAAATAATACAACCCTACGTCTACCTAAAATCTTAGGAAACTCGAGTGCCAAATCTCGAGCGCAAGTCGCGTGTTCACGGCCATTCCGGGGGACCATTAGGCTTCTAAAGAGAATTGGAGACTAAGGTGCGCGGCGATAATTGTCCTCGCTCGTACTCGCGCCCCGCCTAAGAAAAACCACAATCGCTAGGAGGTCCATTTACTAAAAAGGCCTTTCTATCCCAGAAGGCTGCGTAGAAAACTCGAAAAGTGCAACGTTTTAGGTTCAATGTGACGATTGTTGCGAGGAGGACTTGTGCAACAGCAATTTTTCGGTTCAGTATTATAGGGTAAAGTTTGCGAAAGTTATACGAAAATGAAGAAGCCTAGGATACATTTTCGCGACAAAAGACAAGCTGGGTAGGTCCGCTACCGGAAGAGCTGAAGTGGAATAATGACAGTGGCATGAGGTTTATGTTCGGCAGGTTAGTATTATCGAATGCACTTAGAAACGATCGAAATTACAGCAATTCAGCCGTATGCCTGAAACAATGGGAAGTCATAAAGTGGTTGCTGGTGGTTGTGATGGCTCGCTGAGGGCCCTCTTGGACAGCTGAGCGCCGGGGATCGTAGTTACTCGACGAAAGGGCCAAATCGATCGACGGATCATTTTCCTTATAGCCCAAGAACCAAGCCACGAAAAATAAAAAGCACGAAACTACGTTTTACACACCCCGCACGCAAAACCAATAATTTTAAATTTTCCGATTGCTTCGTTGGCCAATGCTGTGAAAACAAGGTGGCGCCCGGAAAGAAACATAACGCCCGAGCGCTCCCAAATAAGTTTGCGCAACCGCCGTGGCACACTCGAGAATTATTGAGGGCTCGCCGCAAGGATTCCGGAAACATGGGGCAAAGTGTCACCGACAAACCGATAATAAAGCGCAGGTGTCATTCAAGTTTATTGTGAACATGAAAATGACGCAAAAATAAAATAATTAATGGTGGGTGACGAGATGAATAATAAATACCCAGCACGGGCCTAATAACTGAAAGCACTGGGGGGAAATAGGGAGAGATCAAATTATTTGAGAAGGCGGTCCAGTACAGCATCGTTGTTGACTAGCTTGCTAGAATTTAAATATGATCAGATGGAAAATATATACAAACTTGATGTGAGTGCCGAATTCCATGTAGAGCTCCTTGAAGTTCTGCTTGAGAGACTGTTGCAAGTTGATGAGCGGAGCATCCGGGCCAGTGGGACACGGGCGAATCTAGAACGAAAAAGTCTTTGCCAAGGAAATCAGCCTACATTTCGGACCCGGAAATAGCAGTCAATTGCAGACATCAGACCGGTGATCACCGAGATAATTTCCGCGAAATCATTCTGCACAATTCCAAAGTCATCTTCGTAAACCGCATTGATGGAGAGTTGACAAAGGGCTGGAAACTATTGTATTTAAAAAAAACACAAGTTATATACCTTCCAAAGCCGACATGCAAACGGAACAATCCGAGCGCGAGAGCAACATTTCCTCCGAACGCAGCCAAGCAAAGTACTGAAAAGGAACCGTGATATTATGTTGCAAATAGTTAACCTTTTTGTATGTAGCAGTTGACATGCAGGAGGAGAATGGATTCTCTTGAGCCCGAATCATTTGCTGGGGACGTAGAGTGGCACGGGTAACGCGTTTGCGCATATCCGTCATATAAGCTAAAAGAAGGTGACTTTCTCAAAAAAAACGATACCCTGGTTCCGAAGGCCGGCGGGCATCGCGAACATTTCACGAACAATGTTTTCATCATCAAGTTGCTCGTCTGGCGCAAGAAATCCACGCGAAGCCTCCTGAATGACAACATTAATTCCAGAAGTACTGAAGTGACCTCCTCGCAAGCCCTTTTGGCATTTGAATTGGAGGTACATTAGAAAAAGGTAACTTCCACAACGTGTATACCTCAATGGCTTTCTGGATATGGCGCAACACCGCGAAACAGCAACCGGATACACGCTGCCACGTTCTTGGAAAACCGCCGGGCTGGCTGAGTGCATAGACCTGCTTACGTCGAGCTTGATCATTCGCCATATTACGGAGATCATCAAATGCAATCATCTAAACGGGTCTTAGATAGCGCGACATAAATACGCAACCTTGAGGAATGGTTCTTTACATTCTGCCATCGCAGTCAGGGTGCGCTCCTCAGCTTCAGACGGATGATCGACGGCGTATAGCGGCGGTAGTGGGAACGTCATCGGCTGAAACGAGTTTTGGCAAGAAATTTAATTTTACCTGCGTGCATTGACGACGAATCAGGAACACGGAAATCTGCAGAATCAGCAGCGAAATAAACAAGCCCGAAATAGCGACGGCGTGCAGCTTGAGCCAGATTAGCGACGAAAAGATCGAGGGGCCGAATACCGGGAGTCCTAAAACAGCATCAAACGAATAGAAACTGCACGAACCAAAAATCAGAGAGACAATGTAAATGTTGCGGTGGATAATCAGTGCACTGAAGAAGGCTTGCTGCGCAATCGACTTTCGCTTGATTGAGAAGAGATGACGGTAGAGGTTGGCGCCGGTGTACTAAAGCAAAATTATTAGGAAAACCGTTAACAATTACGTTGCGAGCCTCGTCAATCCTGAGCTGATGGTCAGTTGAGAACACCGAGTAGATCGAGCCGAACAATATAGTGCTGTAGAGCAGGAGCTTGGAATAAGCGCCAGCAACTTCATATTGAGCGATTCCCATGATGGTCATCGTGTTCGAAATTGCAATCATAGAGAAGAATATCGAGTACCACCAATTGGCTCGGTTCCAAAGGAACAGAACACGCCGCTGCTGTGCTGAAAAACAAAAGTTGAACACTTATTGTTAACAATACCATGAGCTAGGCGACACAATCCAAATCGGATGGCGGCAAAGTTGGATACGGTGACCATCAATAGCACCACCCAGATCTTCCAAGAACAGATTGTCCAGAACACATCTAAACCACGGTCACGTCATAGAAAAAAAAAGTTACCGCAAATTGCTTGTAGTGGATGCAACAACGAGAATTGCATGAGCAGAGACGCGAGGAAGACCAGGAACGTTGCAATCACGCTGCACGTAGCTGAGGAGATGGTCATCCTTTCAAAAACCTGATAGAAATTGGTCAGTGGCTAAACAAATTGAAAGCACCTTATCACGAAACCAGTAAGTCAGACGTCCTTCCGGCGTAAGCACCACAGTAACCTTCGGCGTAGGAAGCAGGGCCCTAGAAACGGTGAAAATAGTAGACATAAAAACTACTTTGGGGTCCGCGGATAGTCGTCGTAGAGGCTACAGCTAGAAGTCCGCCTGATGCGAGTTGGCGTCGCTGGGGTGCGCCTAGGGCTACCAAACCATGCTGGCGTTGCGGCAGCCATCCTGAAAATAAAGAATTCGAAGCAATATAGGGCAACAATATACATTGGAGTTGCCTAATAATCAGCACAGAGTAATTAAACTTTGAAGACTGAAGAACTATTGTCGGGCGACACGTTGGGCGATTGTTTGCTTTACAAGAAATATGAGTGAACAAGGGGGAAGCAGCAATATAGAATTTAGCATAAAGGAGATCAGTAGCATCTCTATATCTTTCGAATGTCGGCTTAACCTAATTATAAGTAAGACGAAACAGGTGCGGGAAATACGAATTTCGGCGCTTCAAAATGGCGCTCAAACAACGTCTGGCTCCTATAGCACAGGCCCGCCCAAGACAAGTTAGCCTCTGCTAATGCTATGGTGGGAAGGAATTGAGCGACCTAGGATCCGGTATAAAATCGAAAATTGGTATAAACAGTGGTCAACGGAAACGGACGGTTTGAATTATACTCGCAAAAGATCGTCCCGGCCGATAATGATCGACTAATATAGATTTGCACCCACTGAGTGAAATCAGCACTAATGGCGTAGCCGGAGGGGCCATCTGATCGGGGCATACCCTGGGGGCTCATTAGCTACATTTGCGCTTACCATCTTTTTGTACCAAAAAAAAATTACACACATTAGTGTCAGCAAGAAGTAGACGCGACCAATCGGCGTTATCGGGACAACGTCTTCGTCAAAGACGTCCGGCTCGTGCCAGGTCTGACGGTTCCGAAAGTTCCGGGCCCTAAAGAAAATGCAGAAGAAGCAATGATAAATACCGAAATGAAGCATGCTGGCGCTTGATGAAGGACCAGCCCCAAGCCGCGCCGGGTTGCAGGGCATATAACATGCTGGAAAGGGTAAATTGTATCAGGAATCGAAAGAAAAAAAAGTGCATTACGAGCGTTGAAAGTTCCTTGGTTCATAGTTATTAAAATTCTCCATCTACTTTGAAAGATACGTTTTAACCGTTGTTAAGTCCGGAAGAAATTCTAAAGTTACAAACCCTAAATCACTGATATATAAATTTCTATTTATTATAACTTTTGGCGAAAATGAGAGTTGGCGAGGAAAAGCTCTCCGTGAGGTCAAAGCTGCCGCGGAAGGAAGTTGCTACGGGACCCACTTTTCCTGCTTCGGAAAAGCCTGCTTTTCAACGGCGACAAAATCCGAGCAGTTTGATGATAAAATAACAAAATTGATTCTGAAAATTAATAAACACAATACAAATAGTAGTTTTGCACCGAACAAGCTCGATTGAGCATATATCTGGCCCCAGGAGGAGCTTTCGTTACTTTTTGCATGTGCCCTTCCTAACATCTTTCTTTTTACTACCTGCAAGAGCTTGTCAGGATCTTTGTTTGAAACTGCGATACATTCGTTCAAGGTTTTGCTTGCATCAAAAAACTCCGAATTTGTTGTTTTTCAAGATCTTACTCTCTTTTTTAACATTCCAACGAGTATCTAGCCACATTTTCCAGAAGATGAGCATGCGCGAGGCGCTGCCGATGGTCAAGGGCGTCCGTCTGGCGGATGTCGATTGCGACAAGGCGCCGCAGACGGCCGAGGAGTACTTGACGCAGGTAAAGTTTACGGTTTTAAAAGCTTTACTGACAGTTTACAACCTTTTACGGCTTAAATTGGACACGATTTTGATTTATAAACTGTTTTTTTAGGTAGCCGCCGGGCGTGAGCGCATATCCTGGGTTGCCCACGTGCCCACGAATGAAGTGAAGGACGAGCCACAAACCGAGAAGAAGCCCAAGAACGCAGATCCCGATGCCGCATCCCCTGCCTGGAGGGCCGAGCGGGTATTTTTAAACTAACTTTCGAGTTTTCCCCTTTTAGTTAAAAATCTTCATCACCCAGCGCGAGGCATCGGCGTATCGTCACGGCGCGGCCAATCTGGTGGAATATCCCTGGCCCACACCGGTACATTTTACTTCAGTTAATTTTTGACGTTTTTTTAGACTGACTGGAACGGATGGGAGGCCCTTCTCTTCAAGAAGCCCATTGCCGAGATCACCGAGGAGCAGCTCGCCAAATTCCCGGACCACAAGGGAACACCGCCATTGCCTGGCGTCGTCTTCTCCTGGGACCGCATCCAGGTAAGACTTCTGATTTGAGAATTCTGGATTTTAGGTGGAAAACATCTTCCAAGTGGTCGTGCGGACGCTGGTAAGGATGCAGAAGAAGGCGCAGAAGGCCACGCTGCCGCTCGAGGACCGATCAGATGAGGAGGAGGAAGCGGAAGAAACTGATCTACAGGTCTGTCTTAAATCTAAAATGGAAGTTTGGTCAAAAAGTCTATGTTTTGTATTTTTTTGATAATAATAAAGTTTGTTCGTTGGAGGATAATTAACAATTCAGAAACACTTTTGCTATTTATATTTAAACAGTTGGATACTAAAGCACCGTTTTCTGATGAAAGTGGTTTTAGGGCCCTGCTCGCGTGGAAGCAGCGAGCCCGGAAACGGATGAGGGATTTACCGAAGAGAAGGCCGAGGAGGCAGAAGCTGAGGGCAAGGTGGAGACCGCCGAATCGAAGCAGGACGAGCCGGAAGAAGCCAAATCAAAGGACAACGGAATGGAAGTGCCCGGGTCGAAGCACGTAATGTGCGCGGTAAGCGAATGTTCTTTAACCTGAACTATTCCCATTTTAGTCTCCCAGCAGCAGCGAGGAGCACCAGCCTTCCGTGCCGAAAAAGGTAATTTTAATAGCTAATCCTAAGATATAAGAATTTTTAGAGGAAGCTCGACTACCACAGCAACGGCAGCCTCACCCAATTCTTGTCGGCGATCACGAAAAAGGCGTCGCAAGCTGATGAAGAGGTAAAATCTGATTCTGGTTTTCGATACTATACCCTCCATTTTTTTAGTCGGCCAAACGGTACACGCTGTGCTTCGACGATGAGCATCAGCACTGGTGCTACGCCGTTTTGCTAGTGGTACGATATTTTCTTTTATCCTGACATTTCTGATTTAGCTGGAGCACAATCGGCTTCACGACGTGACGGCGGCACTTCGGGACTTCATCCGCTTCCTGCGGCTCGAGCGCTCCTACCTGAAGTATTTGGCGGCTGACGAGGAGCAACGGTGAATTTTTGGCCTTTTTTTGGGATTTTCAAAATATGAGTACTTGACTGTTAGCAGGGGGAATAAATTTTTCCTCCTCTGCCTGCCTGTTGATGTTCTATAGTTTATTTTTATAAGGTTTTAGTTGTTTTATATTGCAGGAAAGTTCTAGAAAAATCTTTTAAAAATTTTGAAATTTGATTTGAATTTTGATCTTTTTAGTCATTTTGTAATCATTTCGACATTTTTTTAATTACTATAGGCTGTTTATATCGAAAAACGGTCTAAAACCCTATAAAACCGGGTTGGATTTTGTTACAGGGTCGTACGGGCTTACGGGGAAAATTTGGTCCCCCCGCTAGCAGTCCAGCCTCTTAAAATGCACCTCTTCCTCTATAAGCTCTATTTTTCAGGAAGGCGCTGCACGACAAATACTCGCTCTTCATCGTCATCGCCGCCGAGTTCTTCGGGCAGTCCGACCTGGCCGATGGATAACGATGCCCAGAACTTTATCACCCTTTTGATTTCTCCTCTCATCTTATTTTTATGTGTAGCTGGTCGCTGATTCGCTTATTCCCACCCAGAAATTCTAGAATATAGTCATATTAATTTCATTGTTTATCGATAAATTGTTATTTATAAACACCTGCTAGTTTTTTTTGATTAATCGGGATGAATCCCCCCGCGGATTTTTTTTGGGCTAGTCGAAAACGACTAGCTGGAAGCCACTTAGACCTTTTAAAAACGCTTCTCGTCAGCGGGAAAAAAATATCTTTATTTTGTAAGAGTTTCCCCGCCAAAAAGTATATACATAATAGGATCTTGGTCAGAAATATACGTAACTTGCTTGTTCTAGTAGGGAATTACGGGAACGCTGCCTTATTTCAGCCTTAAGTTTTCTAGCAGCTCCTTTTAGAAAAAGCGTTTAAAGCCTTTTTTTTTAAGTATTCTTCGTCTTTCGCCAATTCCAACAGTTTTGCCCGGCGTGACCGTCTTCGAACACGGAAACGAACCGTTGGCCAAAAATCCATCTCCATGTGTGCACTTGACAAAAACCAATTTCCGGTTTTGGGCATTTGGTGGTAGGTGGTGGAGAATATTTGCGGGGCGATTGGCGCTTCTCGGGGGGCTGTGGCTAATCACCAGAATGTTTGCTTCCGTGTGTCCGTCAAGCGGTTGCATCGCTTCACACCGTCCACTTCACCGGGGTGCCCGTTTACCTTCTTCTTCTTTTCCGGGCTATTTTCTGCTGTTTTAAAATCCAAGTTTCAGGGTGCTTTCAGAAGGTTAGTTGGTTGCTTAGCTTTTCGGGATTTGAAACAGGCGAGAGAATGGGGGATGAAGCGGTTGTTTGACCGGATTGTTGTTGCTGACGCGCGAGGGCCCTCGTTTGACCACTTGTCTGTTTGCATTGCCAATCTTCGACAAGCATTCCTTCACCTCGTGCCATCACTGACTTCATCAATGAAGTGTCGTGGAGACCAGAGGGCTTGGCACTGGTCAAGCTCGACCTGGAGTTGTCTCGTGGGTTTCAGAAGTTGCTATTTGACTTTTATAAAGTTTAAAATCAGAGGCTTTAATGTACATGGAGTTTCAAAACGGGGCCAAGTCTACCTTGTGCAGATTTTTGCTGATTAAAACGTAGTTTGTAAAATCTGTTAAACCACCGAGTTAAAGAAGTTAAACGCTTTCAACGTTTTGCCACCTGAAAGCTTCATAACTTTGTTTAATCTGGTTGTTCCGCTTATTCTTCAACGTACGTTTCAGTTGACGAAAAATCCTGCACAAGATCGACTTGGTCTCGTTTTGAAACTTCAAAAAGACCAAAAACGTTTTTTTTCTAGATTCGAGGGGTTATTTTAAGAGATCGACCTATTTTTTGCCCTTTCTCCCCGATCCCGAACAGGTAGGCGCCAGACTAATTTATAGCCCATTGCCCTGCGCCTGCCACACTTTCCTAGACAGAAACATATGCTGTTCGAGAATGAGAATGGTGTAAGAGGGGGCTTTCGACCACCCTCCCGCCACCGGGGATCCCCCTCTCAATTTACTTCGCTTTTTGCCTTGGTCGATGGTCTCAAGTCCCGAGGCGCGGTGTGCAACAACATTTGTATACTTTTGACAGTGGGCGCAGAACTCATTTGGTTGGTTGGATGGGGGAGGACCATCTGTTTTGGGCTTGGAGGTTTTTTGCAGGGGTTTTTTTTGGTTGCTGGTTGGGACGTGTGGAGATGGGGGCTTCTCAGTTTGGGGCGCATTTTTTCAATTAATTGGCACACGTCCAAGTTTACTCGGGCGGGGGGTAGCGAAATGGGAGATGGGGGGCCAAAGTTAGAGGGCTGTTTTCAAGAGTTAGCAGCTTTTTATCGGCATCCGTATTTAATTTTTAATGTATAAAGTAGTTTTATTTTTTTAGAGAATTGAAGGAAGGGATTTTGATTTATTAGAGGAAATACCATATCTAAGCATGTAATCGGCTTTAACTATCCTACCGTGTTCCACCCATTGACATCGTCATTCCAAAGTGTCCCTCTAGCTGTCAGCTGTTAGCACATCTTTCCAGGGACCCCGCAAAATTTATGGCCCAATTCGGGTGGATTGATGGGGAAAAACGGCCATTTGTCTGATTCTACCTCCACATCCCCATCGAGGGCCCCGTTTTTGACAGATAAACGGCACAAGGTAGTAATAGATGGCCCAGGTCGCCGGGTCGGGGCCCGTACCCAAACGGCACTTTAAACTGTCTGCCCATTGTCCGGTGTTACTTTGTGATTG